GGGTCTACTTTTGTATTATCAAACCCAACTAATGAAATTGAGGTGGGTCTCAGTTATGTGGCGTTAACCTCGAGCTATTCGAAAGTTCACTTTATGATAATATTAGCGTTGCTTCCAAAGTCTACAAGCATTCTTTTGATTTAGCAATTTTCTACCATTAGGCTGATCACTAATGGATCTTCATGGTAGATCTGTACCCTCCCCAAGTCCTCTTCTTCGAACCCAATCCTAATGTTTTCCGAGCTGATAGTGTTCACTGAAAACATCTTCCTTAACTTATGGACATGCCTGAGCCTTGACTTGTACGTTTCTCCTGTCTCATCTTCCTCTTTAGGTTTGATATGTATGGCATGAATCACTCGTATAGGACTAACCTCGGTTGTTGGCTTTCTATTGTTCGAACTTGTCTCCTTCGGCTTCGACTACTCATTGGGTTGGATATAGTCGGCTAGGTCTCCTTTGGTAATCATGGATTCGGCTTGTCGTCGAAGAGTCCTACAATCATTAATTACATGACCATAATCTCTATGAAAAACACAATGATTACTCTTGTCCTTCTACTCAAGGGGTTGCTTAATTGGAGGTAAAACCAGGAATTTGACTTTGTTTTCCTAGAAGAACCGAGCTAAATTCATCTTCAGGGGGGTCACCTTATCCTTGGTCATCTGTCTATTCTCGGTTGTCAAAAAGACTGAGGCTAAAGAGTTTTCAAGTTTTTGGTAACAAAGCTTTTCTCCTTTGATTTACTTTCGACCGAAATCAGGGTAGAGTGTTGGCTTCGGCTTGCCTCGTTCTCCTCGAGTCTTATGAAACTCTACGCTCGGGCATTGAGGGTAAGCATATTTAGCGAAGTGTTTTTAATTAAATAAGTATAGAACTTGGTGTTCTAGAACATAGAAATTTTGAAGGCTTCCACGGCTATTGTTTGATGGCAATTAGGGATTTCCGAGGCATCCATGCTGAATCTGGTATTGAAGGCTTGTAATTTCACCCCCTTCATTTGCCGTAGGGTGAAGAGGCTAGAGATAGTCTTCTTCTGCTTTTTATTGCCACAATACTGGGCCAGGAACACAGTGCAAAGTTTCTCAAAATTCAAGATGGACTTATGCGGCCTATTTTTGAACCATTCGAGGGCAAATCCCGTCAGACTCATTGGGAAGGCTATGCACATAAGGCGATTATTGTGTGTATCCATGGCCATCTTTTAAGTGTAGTGACCAATGTGATGAGTTGGATCTCCGGTTCCATCGAACTAGTTGAAGGTAGGCAGTATAAACTTCTTTGGAGTCTCCATATGCTCAATTTCATCAGTGAACGGAGTTTTGACCATTTATGTTGCGAATTCTTTCTCCATCTCCTCTAGGGTTTGGACCTTTAATCCTTTAGTTTTCCCAGCTTTTCTGTGAGGCACGACGTCGTTGGCCTTGAGTACGTACACGTTACTTCTACTAGATTTGGCTTGATCCTTTACAACTCTACTCTGATTCTATTGTCGCCTTGTTAACATAGAGGCTTCTGCATGAGGTAAAATTCCATCCTGCCTTGGATTTTGCTGTTCAGGAATTGCTCATGGATCTTTAAGGTTCGAGGGATGCCCTTGTTGATCCGATTGCTGAAGAGGGTCAGTAGGATTATGCCCGAAGGGAGAGATTATTGATTTATAGGCGGCGACAACGGTTGCACGGCTAGCCGGTCGACTGTTGCTTGGATCATCTTGTTCTGTTATTGGAGGAGATGAAACTGTGTTATGCCGGCTTCGTTTACCCATCGCATGACTTTAAACTGTTGCATGAATTCCTCACTCATCTTTTGCATGAGTTCCATCTATTGGTGTTGAATCGCGTTTGCTCCTATTGCCATCCTGGAGCAATGTCGCATGTATCAAACTATAAATCTTCAAGAGAAACATTTGTCATTTTCCACATACGGCGCCAAAGTGCATGTGCAAAAATTTGTTTAACTTAGAAAGGTTAAAGAACTTTACAATACACTCAAAATATAACAAATAAGAGGTAATTTCAACAGAAAATTGCTTCTTCTTTATTGAGAGGTCCATGCCTCTATTTATAATGATTTTATAAAGGTTGAATTGGGCTAGAACTCACTTTGTTTGTCCATCAAGTTCTTACTATATAATATGCGCTTCACTACAATACAAGTTTACATAATAGGATTATGGTAACGACTGATTCCTTTTTCAATTTTGGATTTCATCATACATGGGCTGGAACTTTACTTGGAGACGGGCGGACATACCCATCACTACTCCTACGCCTTTACTGGGTTGGGCTTTGGTTACGGATTCTCTGGGCCATCATTTAATTCAGGCCTCAATATTGGGCCTTGACTGGCTGGCGATCCACAATATTGTTAACAACTGGCCCATAATGCTGGATTGGATGTGGTCCCCATGCTGTGATGTGGCGTGCTCTTATTGAAGGGGAAAATTTTCCCTCCACACTAGTTATAAACAAAGATTGGGGATAGAAACTCTCAAGAAATGACAAGGCCCAAAAGCTAAACACAAAACTAAGGCTCAGAAGTTGGGATAGGAGCCCCAGGAAATGACAAATTCGGAAAACCATATACAAAAATAAGGCCTAGAATGAACATCAAGCGAACTCACACTCCTAAAATCACGCAACACAGCCCAAAAACACACACTCAAATCGTATAAATATAAGTGACTCCAGGCAAAAAAGTCTATCTTGAGTGTGAAAGCTTCGAGAGCAAAAACCCATCCGGTTATATTCTCAATAAGGTATTTATTTCTCTTTCCTACTCATTGGAGATTTTTTTTTTTTGTTTTATACTTCTATAGATAGAGGTGGGAGTTTGGGACCAACATGATTCTCTTACCCTAATTACAACTTGTAATTTAAAGAAATCCATTATAGTTATTAGGATATCAAAAGCAAAAATCTAAAATTCAGTGAGACATCTCTTCCTCTTATGTATTTTGTTATGTTGGATACAGTATCCTTTTGCAGTACATACAAGTTGTCATCAATGGGGTCTCCATGTAAATTCTTTAAACCCAACAAGGAGATCCTTTATCCCATGTTTGTTTTTAGTTTGTGCAGATCAATTTAAGATGATCTAATGAGGCCAAAATTCATTCGATTAAAGCCCAAAATTATGTTGGATTAGATTTCCAATTATAGGCTTACAGTACGTCCCCACTAATGTTGTGACAGCCCGCAATCAAATCAGGCTTGGGAAGCGGGCTGGGCTTCACAATTTGCGGTACTGCAAATGGCACACTGGATCCGTTAACAACCCAATTGTCACGACCTTGGGTTGTCTCAAGCGAGTCGCATCTTTGTTACAACAACGTTGCTAATGTTAAATTAGAAGATAGAGTTGCGAAGATTCAAAATCGAGTTCCCAATAATAACAGGGAGCAACTCAATGGTCGAGCGATTCGCAACACCGTTGCTATTTGCATTCCTTACTTTGTACTATTGCCAATGGTGTTCTAGTCACAACTACCGCAAAATGAGAACAGTAAATGTGGACCATCACCATTTGCCAAGAAATTAACTGCTTGAAATTCAAAGGTGGTATATTTTTCATTGATAGTGATAAGAATTAAACCTATAATGACTTAGACATTAATATTGTTTTTATTTTTTTACCTTCAATGGAAATTTGTCAATTATATAAATTTGAATGTTTAATCCGATAATTAATTAGTTTAATTTGTGTAGGTTTGACAAAAATTCATTAAAATAATAAAATGTCATAAATATAACAAAATGATAGATTGTTTAAGTTTTTTTCTTCTTCTCCTCTTGCTAAAGAACTCATTCACCAATTTGCGTGAACAAAAACTTGAACTTACATTCATAGAAAAATACCACTAGACATGTTATGTTTAGTTTTTCTTCACGCCCATACCATTAACCGCATCACATTTAATTTTAATGACCCAAGACTCTCAACATGTAACACGCATTTCTCACACAATTTCTATATTTTCTTAATAGAATTCAACACGTAACCTCCACAGTCTGTCAATCCGAATAACACATCACTATCATTGATTATGTGTTCGTCTTTTCATTTTTTCTGAACAAGTGTACTTATGTTCGAGTCACACCTCCCCTAATTTGTTAGAAAATTAAAAAAATTTCCATTTCCCCTAACAAAAGACCCTTACACAGAATTATTACGTTGTCTCGGACTACACTGAATAAATTTGATACATTTAATTAGTGTGTCATTACTCATTTGAAACTTATAGTTAAATGTTTGTTATTTTTGTTTTAATTAATTAATTAATTTATTATTATTACTTTTTTTTATCAACGATGGTGGTGTTTGGCCTTTCCATCCCATATACACCCAATAATTATCAGAAAAATTTCCTACAAGCGATTCCAAAGAAATTCGAATTTCCAACCTCCAAGATGTGAGGTAAAAGTCTTTGACTATCCTCGAAGTTATATTACTATATTTTACTTAACCCATGATGTATTTTAAATTACATTAAGTGTCATTTAAAGAAAATGCGAGCAATTTTTTTTCTTAAGAAAATACAAGTAATTACATACTTTTTGGTGTCATGAAAGTGTATTTAAAACGCATACATGCCATATTTAATTAAAAATAAATAAAATATTCTGAATTCAAGATACTCATGCTTGCCTAAATGTTGTTTGCAATACTGCTAGAAAAATAGTCCAGTGTCTTTTATTTTATGACCTAAAAAGTGAGTGTCTGAATTTTTTGAAATAATCAAATAAAAAGAAAATTATATTCTGATTTAATAACATATTTTTCTTCTACTTCGTATATTATATATAAGGACAGATTAGAAGAATCAATGTAATTTTTTCATATAAAGAGGAAATCTATACAATTTAACTTAATTAAAATGGAAGTTTTACTACTCCGTATAATTTACTTACGAAAAATAAATACTCCGTAAATAAATACTCCGTACTATAATTTAATCTTTCATTTCTCTTTATATATCCTTGTTTCGCCAAATTTAGCCGTTATATTCCTTTGGAAAGCTCTGAACTGACTCTTCAATGGCGTCTCTTCGCTTCTCTGCTCTAATTCTAGGGTTTTCTCTCTTGATTTTTCTAACCACACCTTCTCATTCACTCACCTGTTCCTCGCAGAAATTCACGAACAACAAGCTCTACGAGCACTGCAACGACTTGCCCCAACTCAGCTCCTATCTCCACTGGACCCACGACTCTGCCGCCAAGTCTCTCTCCGTCGCCTTCGTCGCGCCTCCTGCGAAGCCAGACGGCTGGATCGCCTGGGCCATAAACCCTACCGGCGCCGGAATGGTTGGCGCGCAGGCTCTGATAGCGCTCAAGCAGTCGAACGGATCAATGACGGTGAAGACCTTCAATGTGAGCTCGTACAAGTCGATTGTGGAGTCGAAGCTTTCGTTCGACGTGATGGAGATGAGCGCCGATTACTCGGACGGGCTGATGAGGATATTCGCTACGGTGGCGCTGCCGGACGCGGCGGCGACGACGTTAAGCCAGGTTTGGCAAGTTGGGGGTTCTGTTACGGCTGGTTTTCCGGACAGGCATGAGTTTCAGCCCGCGAATCTGAACTCCAAAGGAACCCTAGATTTGTTGAAAGGACAGAGTAATAGTGCTACCGGAGGTGACTCAAGGATGAAGAAGAAAAATGTACGATTCTTATACACAATTCTATCATTATTTTGATTTTATTTTATTTTTCTTGCGATTTTCATTAAGCCCTGTTTGTTCTTTCTCTGTGGCTTTTTTTTTTTTTCAGACTTGGATGGGTTTTATAATAGATTTAGAGGCCTTAAAGCTGAATTTTTGAATAGTTCCTGATTGATCATAAATAAAATGCATTTATCTTTCACTATATATATATATATATATATATATATATATATATATATAAATATATGCATATATGAAACTGTAGTTGTTGGTTTTTGGTGTATAATATGAACAGAAAATGTCTATCTGGAATCATTATCTCTTTTTCTTCTTTGGGTATTGTTTTGATTTCAGAATTCAGAGTTTATTTCAGGGATTATATTATTTTTTAAAGTAGGATTAAAAACAGATAGACTTGTTACTTTTGCAGTTATTGAGAGGAATTATGATATATACTGTGGTTTTCTAATTGTAGACTGATCCATATAATCATCATTAACCAGTGGATTTTCATCAAACTGGTTGTTGAATTGGGAATTGATTAGTTGTACTGTTTCATCATCAAACTATAAAAGTGAACATATGCTTGTAATTGTTTTTCGTTTTTTCTTTTTCTTTGTTTGCTAATTATCCCCTCTATTTATTTTTTGTTTTTCTAATTTTGTTGTCAGATTCATGGAATATTGAATGCTGTGAGTTGGGGAATTATGTTTCCGGTGGGAATAATAATCGCGAGGTATTTGAGAACTTTCCAGTCTGCAGATCCACTATGGTTTTATCTTCATGTTTTCTGCCAATTTTCTGGCTATGTTATTGGGGTTGCTGGCTGGGGAACTGGACTTAAGCTCGGAAGTGAATCCAAGGGGGTCCAGTACACCGGTCATCGAAATATCGGGATTGCACTCTTCTCTCTCGCAACCATTCAAGTAAAGTTTTCTGCCATTTTTTCTCTTAATCTCTTGGTCCTTTTATTTTCTGTGTATGCATTGTACCTCATTGAATCTTGTGAATATAATGAAATCCAAATATTAGAAATTTGGATATTTTAGAATTTTAGAGCTTATGTTGAATCCTTGAAATGTTTCAAAAATGAATCAAATTGGCATAAAATTATGACGTATTTTAGAATTTAAGTCCTTTTGTGGAGACCTGGTCATTCATGTTCTTGGTGCTTCTGTCATAGCTCAACAAAGTTTTCTCATGCAAATTATGTCATAGGGCCAGAATGAATGTTTTAGGGCATTATGGTTCATCTCAGCTACCTGAAATTGTATTTGTAGGCAATGTTGCCTAATTTGACACTGGTTTTTGAATTTTTGTCCCTGATGGTCTTTCTCTGTGTTGCTTGTCATCTTCTAGGTTTTTGCTTTGTTACTGAGACCGAAGAAGGATCACAAGCTCCGATTTTACTGGAATATATACCACCATGGCGTCGGATACGCCATCCTAGTCCTTGGCATCATCAATGTGTTCAAAGGGCTAGAGATGTTGCATCCTGCACAGAAGTGGAAATCAGCTTACATTGTTGTGATCTCTGTGTTGGGTGGGATTGCTCTGTTGTTGGAAGCAATTACCTGGATTGTAGTTTTGAGGAGGAAGTCCAGCAAGTCCACCAAGCCCTATGATGGATTCACCAATGGACAGGGCAGGCAACAGCCCCTTGCGCCGTGATCAACTGTGATTGGCGTCGAGTCTCTGCACGTCAGAATCCGATTCTGTATCATCATCATCCCCTTTCCATAGGCTGTTCGAGATTCCACAATGTTATATCCATTCAGTGGACTTGTTTTACTTCTGTTTTGTTCATCATCTGTATAATTGCTTGTGTTACACTTTGGATATCCCTTTAGTATCTATAATAGAAATCAATCAGTTCTTCAGTTGTATTCTTTTCTTTGGTATTTTTGTTGCCGAATTGATAAAAAACCAGAAACGAGTGGCAAAAACATGATTTTTTTTTTCCTTTGAAATAAATCATATCACAACCAGAATATTACTTTTGCTTCATATAAAATGAAAAATGCATAATGGAAACCCTTATTATTATTTTTCTTTCTTTTTTCCTGGGCCTACATCAAAACGGTATTTTCAAATACCTACCCGTTGATACCTAATCACTTTTATATTTGTATCCGATATGGAACAAATCCGTTGATACCTAATCACTTTTATATTTGTATTCGATATGCAACAAATGACCCTTGTTACATTCTCTCCCACCCAAACTCGCAATACCCTCATTGCGACTCGGGCCACTCGGCCTACACGGGTTACAAACCCGGACACTTTTCAGGTCGGGCGCTTGGCGTGACACCGGATTAAAGATTCGGTTTGACTCTGATACCAACTGTAATGGATGGACACTTGTCCATTTATCTAAATATTTAAGTTATTGGGTAATACTTCATACTCACCCATTTATACCCAAACACAAGATTGGTACATTTAATCAAACTCGACTACACTGCATCCTAATTTTACATAAAAATGTCAACGGGAAACTTTCTCACCTAGCTAATCCCACAGTTATGAAATGTTAGTCCACCAACTTTGATTCAACTAATTTCACATTGGACTCACATGGGTACAAGTACCACTAAATTCGGATTAGGGTAAACTAATCCACCTAACATTCCATTATAAAGTCACTTTCACGTTGTCTAGAGTCCATGAGATAGGGGTGTCCCAACCCATTTCTTTCAATTTTGTTGCTATTCATAGCTTTTGTTTATAGGATTGCTCACATGATGGTCTTCATCCTTCCCTTGTTACATGGAAGGTGATGTTTCCCTTTAAAAAGGACAGTTGTTAGCTAGTCCCCTCAACAAGGGGACACACCTGAAATTTTCAAACTAAAAGGGCATAAAGGCCAACATAATCAAGTTTGTTAAATAATATTGCTTTGTATAATATTTTAATTTTTTTTTTTTTTACTCTTTGGTAGCTATTTTTTATGAATTAACAACTAAAAATCAAAAGTAGTAGTTGTTTTTCTTGATAATAGAAAACAATAACTTGTCTTTACCGTTAGAGATATTTTAATAAACCTGGTATATTGATAACATGATATCACCAATTAAATGCTGATGTGTAGTGATATGATTCACTAAAGTAAGGCTATGTTTGGCAAACGTGGAATTAGATTTTTGGAATAAGAATTAGAATTGGAGAAAAGTAATTCAAAAAATTGAATCAAAATTTTCTCTGATTTCATTAATTCCAATTCTAATTTCAAAGTTTCAATTTCATGCCGTCAAACACGGCCTAAATGTATTTTTTTCTTATGTGATAAGATATAATTAGTTGATGGCACTCGGTGTGGTATCACCGAGAGTCTTTCTCTGAGTATTATCAATAATTTATCCTCAAAAGTTATTTTAGTTTAGTATTTTTGTTTAGAAATTCACCATTTTGCATATGTTGTGAAATCAAAAAAAAAAATCTGACAAACAAACTTGGGGACTTGACATTACAAAGTTGTTGGCCCAAGTACAAAATTAATTTGTTTTGAATTAAAATTGCAAGTACAGGTGAAACCCAAGGCAGGGGTATAATGCAGATATACATAATAATAAAATAAAATAAAGGTTTCACTATATTTTTTTTAAAGCACATGTATAGGTCCCACAACACACGCACTATTCAAGTCAGAAATCCCGTTCAAAAGCGAGACCTTAAAGAATTACCCCTCGAATCTTTGTTAACGTCGCTATATTTCTAGGATAATAAAGATTTTACTTACAACACTGCTAAAAAAAATTACTACGTATGTATTAGGTGAATCCATGAAAAAAGTGAGGAAGCTAAAGTGACACCAATTCAACTTGTGTGTCTTTTAATAAGAGGAGTGATCATGACCATTGACCCACACAACTTTATTTTTGTCAAATGCAATGAGTTTTATGTTTTTGACACAAGCATGTGAAGTGAATTTTATTAGACATGGAGGAAGCATATAAAAATATGATGATTTGTCTAAAAAGCTATCATTTTTAATTCATACATTCTATACCTAACCATTCATACCTAAAAATATGACTGTTTCATAAAGTTACAACGGTATGATCTGTTGTGGACAACACAAAAATCATTCCAACTCCTCAACAACTTTAATTGTTCTTTTCAAATTCTAGTTTCTTTTCTGATTGTTTTTTGGTTCAACAACCATCTATCACATATGATCTGTTGTGTTGGTTTTGTAATCCTCCCAATAATTGAGAAAATGAAAGGAAATGCTAGTTTTTTTTTTTAATGAAATTTTGTTAATAACAAATTTGTCACAAAGTCTATGAATCAAAAAAGATATGACGACAAATTTATTAAAATACTTTCCTCTCTTATTTTTTTTTTCATGCATGATTAGTATTATTTCTTTCTTTTACTTTATTAATCAATCAAACACATTGATAAGTGATTAATAATATCATCTCATTTTTTTTTATTTTTTCAGTTTATTATTTTATTAAATATTTGACATGACATTCACAAGCTGACAAACAGAACTGTGATGGAACTGATTAAACCAACTAATGCCATAACCGATTGAACAATTGTCTCAGCATTTTTCAAAATTAGGTTAAGCTGTCTTCTACCAACTTGATTGAAATATTATATATATATATATATGTTTGTAATTTTATATTTGCCAAAAAAGCATGGCTTAACCAATAACCACCATTTGTTCTTTAAATTAAAGTCAAACACGTGAAGTCCCCAGAGCAATAATCATATAATTCTAACGTTCTCAATCTAATAATAATGATAAATTTCATGGTAGTACAACTTTTTATCAACTTAAATGGTCCATGACATGTGCCTTAAATTGTGGTTTTAAAATTTTAAGTGAATTTAGATTTTTGTTTTAAAACTAAAGGTGTGATATATAGTTCGAAAATTGGAATCAAATTCCACATTCGAATAAAAATAGTCATTTAGTTCGATTTTAAGACTAAATTTCATTAAAAAAAGTAATCGTTGTTTGAGAAACTTCATTTTTTTTTTTTTACACAAAAAGAAATTTATTACTTAGGTGCAAAGGAATACACTATGCAAAGCTTTCATTTTTTTTCCATGAAGTTGACAGAGGAAGCTTCAACCCCACTTTGGAGCATCTATTTTCAAGTCTAGATCAATCTCACAAAGTGTCTGTAAAATTTTCCAACACATTTCAAATTTATTTTTAACATATTTTTTAAAATTTTAACAAATTTTGTCTGCATTATTCTCTGCATTGAAATGTAAAATAAATGTTTTAAAATAAGATTTAAGTGTGTTCAAATCTCATTTTAATATCATTATTTATAGTTTCAATGAGATTAAATCTCATTTTAACATTTATTTTTCTTGTTGAAATATAGAATAAATGTATTAAAGCCTGATTTAAATGTGTAATGCACGCTACAGTAGAGGATCCAGACTCTCTTACAAAAATGTGGGGGCATCTTTCATGCACTAAATGAAAAAAAAAAAGAAACTCCTTAATTATTGCCCTTTTGCAAATATTCCCCTTGTATTAAAAATTACCCCTAAACTATTGATTTGTGGCAATTAAGGACAAACACATCATACAATATTATTTTACCCTGCCTTTCTCATTAAATTTGTCATTTCTTATTAATTTATTTTTATTATCTTTTTCTCTTATATAAATATGAATTATACTATTTACCTTAATTTTATTAATATTATCAATTTATCATAAAAATGAAAAAAATTTTAATTATATTTTGTAATATGATTAACTTAAAATTAAATTTTACTATTTATAATAAAACTTATTATACCCAGTTTAAACATTTTTATCATAAAAAACACGTTCTTTTTCATATAATATATTCATGAAAATTTAATAAATTACTTAAATTAAAAATACCTTATTTTTCATGCAATATATTCATGAAAAAAATAAGAAATTACTTAAATTGTTATAAAAGTTTATACTTAATATTTTTATTTAAACAATTAATATTAAATATTAAAGATAACTTTATGTAAATCTAGTGGAGAATATGTCATCAATATAGTATGAGTTTTTTCCATAACTTATTTCTATAAGAAAAATAGATTAAGTGTAATTCAAAAAGAAAGGACATAATGGTTATTTAATGAAAAATAGTGTAGGTATTGAGACATTTTGCAACAGAATGTGATAGTTTATAAGGTATTATGTACAAAATATAGTTCAAGGGAGTTATTTAAACATAATTCAAGGGAATTTTTTTGCACTTTACCCAATATTTTAATGCATGTGATTTTGCAAGGTTTATGTTAAATGTAGCTGGAAAAAAAAAAGTTGAAATGTCAAAAATAAATAAAATAGATAACAAAATAAATAAATAACAGTTGGCCCAAATGAGATATGGTGTGTTTGAGCCCAAAAGTACAATCCAGATTCTAATAAACGTTTAAAGAGCAGTGGGCTGTGGTCTTTATGCAATGGACTGACAAAGATTCGTGTAATCACAAATGGAGCTATGAAATTTAGATGGATGGGCTTTAGACAGACAATTTTTTTTATTTTTTATTTTTATTTTCAAGGCTTTAGACAGTCTAGAGACTCTAGACCTCCATTGCAAAAGGGAAGGTCCAACTCTACTATCATTACTTTGCAACACTAATATTATATATACTTGATTAATGTTTTGTTTGGATTGATAGAATTGGAAGGAAAAGAAAAGAAAATAAGAGATAGTGATATTCGTTTGGTTTGTTAATGAAAAGAGATAGTAATAGCTCTTTATCATCCTTTCAAAAGTAAAAAGATTTAGAGAAAAATTATAACAGCTTAAGTGATACTTCCATAATATTAAAAATAACCTTAACATTTAAATAAAATAAATTTAAAAGACGTTTGGGTCACCTTAACATTTGGGTTTTATAGTAAATTGTTTGGAATAGTTTCTTTTCTTTTCTTTTCTCTTTTATCTTTTATAAACATGAATGCTTTCATTTCATTTCTTTTCCTTTATAATATATATAAATGTGTGAATACAATTTATTGTTATCTTTTCTTTTCTTTTCATAATTAATACTATCATTTCTTTCTCTTCTCTATGTTTATCCAAATAAATCCTAAAGCCAGTTTAGTTGGAAAAAAATTAGAAAGAAAAGAAAATAAATGAAATAGAGGAATATGATTGTTGTGTAATTTGTGTTTGGTTTAAAACTTTAGTTTAATGAGTTGGTTTTGTTATCGTTCCAAAAAAATGGGAGGAAATGAAAGGAAAGGAAATCTATGGTGTCTCAAGAAGTATCAGGTCTAAGGTTTAACTCTTTTTTAATGCTAACAATTCCTTGGATGGGGTATGTGTGAGTACGAATTAGGAAAAAATATATGAAAGAAAATGTTAGATTTTTTAATGAAACTTTGTTAAACCAAATTTGCTTTTATTTTTATAAAAGACAAAATATATAGTAAAAGGGAATGGTGATAAATTTATTAAAATAGTTTTTTTTTTCCCTTTCTTTCTCCAAACATGATTATTATCATTTTTTTTATTTTTCTTCGTTAGGCAACCAAACATGATAAGTGATTTGCACCATCTTTTCGTTTCCTTTTTCATATTTTTTTCGTGTAACTAATGTTATAATTTACTTTCTTTTACATTGTACCAAACATAGTCTAAATCTTTCCTAGTACACCCACATTATATAATGAAAAGTGTAAGTATTATTACTAAGTTTATTTTGAAAATTTACCACTATTGTCACTTTCCCATAACTAATGCCTGTAATTGTAATAAAGTAGTGCTGTTGCGAGTGTGCTCACAATAGCACTCAAGCGCACCCCAATTTCAGCCACAGGATGAGTTTTTTTTTTTCTAGAGATTTAGGACACTACTAACAACTAAGGAAAAAAAAAAAAAAAAGAGCATTGTTTTTTCTCTCTCTTCTTACCACTTTTTGTCCCTTTAAGAACATCTGGTGTGTGGCTAAGCTTTAATCTATCTACTTTTTAAAAGTAAATTGCGACATAAGCTTTATTTTAATAAAAGGTGATGATGTTGTACTATATATTTTGTTATCCAATATGTTCCATGGTGTGGAACTCAATTATCTCAATATATATTTATTATTTTATTAATTTAATTTAAAAGTTAAATAAAAAATTAAATTTTAATTAAATTATTTTTTTGTCTTTTTCCCAACGGCTATATTCCCAACGACTATATTTCAAACGGCTATATTTCCAATGGCTATATTTCATATAAACCACTCATTTTATTTTCTTTCAATTATCAAGTTCATTGCTTTGCATTCTCAAGTCCATTTTCTATTATTTAAGTCTTCATCTTTCTTATACAAAAAAACAATGGCTTCATCATCACGAGATATACCCGTCTCCGAGTCTATTTCTCCATTGAATTGGTCAGATGGGGAAGATATTTTTGAAATCCATCGAAAAAGGATGAATGACGTGAGGAGATTATTATCGCCTGATAGGGTGTGGGCACTCTTTCAACCTCGTAAGAGAGAGTATATTAAACGTGATCGAGATGAGGCAGCACAACGGCTATTCCGATATTACTTTGCTGAAAATCTGATTTATCCACCAAACATATTTCGTAAAAAGTTTCGGACGTTACAAGAGTTGTTTCTTCGCATTTTGAACGATGTTACAGCATATGACGAATGGTTCATCTAGAAACCCGGTTCACTCCTATACAGAAGATGACTGCTGCAATCTGTATACTCACATATGGAATTTCAGCTGATCTTTGTAACGAGTATATAAAGATTTTTGAGCGCATTGTGATTGAAAGCTTGAAGAGGTTTTGTGATGCTATAATTGTTGTGTATGCGGAGTTATACCAACGTTCACCAAATGTAGACGACATTGCATGTCTACTTCAAGAAGGGGAAGAGAGAGGATTTCCAGGTATGCTTGGCTCAATAGATTATATGCATTGGGAATGGAAAAACTGCCCTACAGCGTGGCATGGCACGCATACGGGAGTAAGCCATGAACCTACCCTCATATTTAAGATCGTTGCATTGAAAGATCTGTGGATCTGGCGTGCTTTTTTTGGTATGACTGGTTCACACAATGGCTTGAATGCTCTCGATCATTCCCCAGTTGTCAAGAGCATGATTAATGGTACAATGCCTCCGGTTAATTACGTGGTGAATGGGCATCGGCGTACAATGGGGTTTTACTTATATGATGATATATATCCTAAGTGGGCAACTTTGATACAGATCATCTCGCTCCCAACAACTGTCAAAGAGAAATTATTTACTAACAAACAAGAAGATGTTAGGAAGGATGTAGAACGAGTGTTCGGCGTGTTGTAGATTAGGTGGGCTATAACACATCAACCGGTAATTTATTGGAATACAGAAAATCTAAACCAGATAATGAAAACGTGCATCATGTTACACAATATGATCATTGAAGACGAGGGCGAACACATTTTGCAATGGACACCTCCAATGGATGACCCAATCTCCCTTCTACATTACATTTGAAACCCATCAATGTTGGCGACACACATTTCCTCTCGCCTAAGTAGGATTCGCAATAGATCAGACAATGCTGATCTTAGGAGAAATCTTATGGAACATTTGTGGAATCAATTTGGTGATGAAGATGCATAAATTTGTTGTAATCGAATAAAATATAATTTTCATATTGCTGATGAATAAAAAAAATTTAAAAATTATTTATTTCGATTATATTTGTTAAAAAATTTAAAGAAATATCCATTACATATATAAATAAAAATTACATTAGCTTCCCATGGATAGAAAAAGAAAATTACATTACATAGCTTCACAAATTGCCCCTTTTATTGAAACGTGCATAAATTTCATTTTGTTGATCAGTGATCCATGCTTTTGTTGCTGCTGTTGTAGCATCATTTAGATTTTTAAACATCATTTCTCTTTCGAAATCAATTTGCTCTGCTCAAATTCCAACCTTTTCAATTATTTTTGCGCCTTAATGTCCATTCTTTTTGTACGTTCTTGCTCCAAGCCTAAATCGAATGTAGCTTTCAATTTCATTTTTTGAGATTCAACTGCCAAGACATTCATCAACTCACTTTGATCTGTAAAATTAAATTGTTTTAGAAATAAGTTATGTTGTACCCCATCTTTATCTTTTTTACGACCCTTCTTAGATGTTTTTCATCTAGGGGTCGTACAATGTCATGCGAACTTTCAACATTAATTGTAGGCGAATTGTCGTCGTCAAGATTTACTGAACCTGGTGTTGATACTCCAGGTGTTGACGGAGTAGATGGATTGATTAGGACTATTGATATAGTAGGTGGAATAGTTTCTGGCGAATTTTCAGGCTCATTCATATCGATCTCCATTACAATTTTGTTTCTCCCTTTATCATTGTTGTTAAAAATGGAATTCCATTTTGACGAATTCTTCAAAATACTCCAATAGTGATTCAACTTAAATGACTCATTTTTTGACGTATTAAATACATTTCTTACATCATTGAGCTATAAAAAATAAACAATAATTGAAATTAGTTAGATTGCCAATTAATATATATATATATATATATATATATATATATATATTAATTTACAAAGTAAAAAACTTACTGCTTCTTCAACATTGAAGCCACTACGAGTATGATGTTGGGTCTGTTTGTAATATCCAGAAAATTTGTTAACAGTTTTTTAATGTGTGAGAAACTATTTTGCAAACTTACTACATTTTGGAACGTCGTGCCCCGTGGTTGCTGAATAAAATTTTCATGGATTCATTGCCAATACTTGATTTTCTGTTGATCCGACCCCGTTATTGGATCTTCTCTAATGTCAACCCAGGTTTTGCATAATGCTTCATCTTCTTCAATGGACCAATTTTGTTTCAAATACCTTAAATTATGTTGGGTTTGAGATGGTTGTGATTGAGAAGGTTGGAACAGAGAAGGTTGAGATTGAAAAGGTTGAAACTTAGATGGTTGAAATTGAGATGGTTGGAATTGGAGATGTGGTAGGTATAAGAAATAAAAGTATTGGGGTTGAGATGGATTTTCGGATTGAAAATAATTTGAAGAATTCAAATTATAATTGGATTGCGGTGGTAATTCAGAATTATGAGATTAGTTGAGATAGGGGCGAAAGAATGGAGGTGGAGAATCCATGAAGATGAATGTTCAAAGAAATATTGAGAGAGATAATTATTGAAGATGAGAATTATTAGTAGAGATGAATTTGTACTTATAGAGTGTTTTTTAAATAAAAAAAATAAAAGAGCCGTTTGAGTGAATGATAAAAAAGTTCGTTTGAGATAAAATAGCCGTTTGAGTGAATAATAAAAGAGCCATTGAGGCAAATGGTATAACTGTTGTGCAAAGAGACAAAACAAATATTGATGCCAAGTGAAGAGACAAATAGGAGAAGTGGAGCACATAAAATATTATAAATAATGGATAGAACATATACATATGATTCTCTATCTATAGACAAGAGGATAGATAGGAGCAAGTGGGGCCCACAAAATTCATTTTCCATCTTCTGCACATATAATTCCTCCCTCTCTCTACTTTTCAGACATCTTGTCTACTTGGAGCCGCACACCAGATGCTCTAAGATAGAGAAACAGAAAAGTGATAAAAAATAGCCGTTGGGAATATAAACATCGGGAAAAAGACAAAAAAATTAAAATTTTTATTTAATTTTTAAATAAAATAATAAATAGATAATGAGATAATTGAATTCCACACCATGAACCATATTGGATAACAAAAAATAGAGTACCATATCATCACATTTTATTGAAATAAAGCTTATGTGGCAATCAAATTTTAAAAAGTAGATAGATTAAAGCTTAGCCGCACACCAGAGGCTCTTAGTCTCTCTTTGACTGCCTTTGCTTTTTTATTTATTTTTCTTTCGAAAGTTTTGCCTTTGTTTGTTAGTGGGCTATTTACTCTTTATTCAATATTTTATCCTCCTTATTGCATAGGTAAAAATTATCTTTATTGCATTCAGGACTAGTGTAATTGCAGTTGTGATTTGTTTTAGTCAGTCTCTCAAAAATCACAATGGTCCAATTTCCTCATTTGTATTAAATTTTTCCCTATTTTTCAATAAGTAAGTATGCAATAGTAATTGTAAAAAAATAGTATGTAATGCTAATCATTTGTACCAAGTGTTGAAGCAAAAATTACCATATTTTTCCCCCCTTTTCACATTAATTCTCAAAATTTTATAGATCCTTGAAGAAGATAGGAAAAAATAGCTGCTAAAGGAACACAACAACTAACTAAAAGTAATACAAAAATAGGAACTCCAGCAACCTAACACAAACATTACTGGAATTGTGTCGTGATGAAGCAAAAATTACCATGTATTTTTCTCTTTTTTCACATTAATTCTCAAAAACTTTATAGTAGTTGCTCCTCGAAGAAGATGGGCAAAAAATAACTGCTAAAGTAACACAACAACTAAAAGTAATAAAAAAATAAAAACTCCAGCAACCTAACACAAACATTATTGAAGCAAAAATTACCATATATTTTTCTCCTTTTTCACATTAATTCACAAAAAATTACAGTAGTTGATCCTTGAAGAAGATGGGAAAAAAATAGCTGCTAAAGGAAAAAAAAAACATTGCTTGGAATTTTCTAAAACTGGATTTGAACTCCACATCACTCAAATTATAAAGAATCCATGTAACTTGAATTCAAATATCATTTTCAAAAATCTTGCAAGAGAGCGGGGGCGAGAAATATTTGAGCATCTTAATAAATTGTTTAAACAAATTAAATAAAAACGCAACACTCTAAAGTTTGATATGTAGTTACCTTATGTAATTTATTAAGATCAAAACCAACATTACTGGAGTTGAGAAACAATGAACCAAATTGTGTATTTCCCTATGAGTCATAAAATACGCAGTAAGTTAAATGTAACAAGAACTTAAAAAAATAATAATAAATAAATAAATAGTAAATGGTGATACTGATTTTACCCACTGAAATAAAAAAATAAAAATAAAAAATAAAAGTATCATGCAGGAAAAGAAATTATGTTTACCAACCTGACTCGTGGTAGGTATAAATGAGTCACTTATATGTGGCAGAGCAAATTGTGCACTATTAGTTGTTGACCTTGAACCATGCTTCTTTTTCCCTACATGGAGGATTAAATAAAATAGTAAAATATGAAATTCATGTAAATGATTGTACTTAGAGCAATCTTACTTACTAGTAGCCTTACTTTTGTTCTTTGGCCTTGAATCCAAAAATGATTTCCTTCTTCCTGGACGCCCTTTATGCCTCACAATCAAGGGATCAAATAACTTACTCTGATTCTCGAAATTATTAGAAACTACACAACCATTTACTGTGATCATTTCAGCAGGCTTTATTGGTAGTTCTTTTCTTGCAAAATCAATTTCATTTGACAACTTATGCAAACCATTCATAGCCAAGTTGTATATTTCCTCATGCATTACACATTTTTCAAGAATGCTTGAGGTCTCATGACAAATATTGCTATACCGAAGCGTCACTGGTTCATGACAATCAGCCTGCATTTGTTCACCTATTGATCGGTTGATCAACTATACATCAACCTTCGCAATAGCACGAATCATTGTAAAATAGGGCTATTGGTCAGGTAAGTCGAACCACTGGGACTGTGCTAGTCTTACGGCAACCTTAGTGTCTAGAATCTTTCTAGAATGATGAGGGGGTGTTCATAAAGGTTTTGTTTGTTGTCACTTAAATTAGGAATTCAAAGTGCATAAAACACTAATTTGTAAGGAATTTAGAATGAAATAGAACAATAGAGAAGAGACTATGAAAGAGACTCCACATCCATCAATAAGCATGCTAGGATATGATTTACTTAGGGGAATAACATATATGTATAACCATAGGATGCAACAATACAAATTATTACATTCCCTTCAAGAAATTTATGAAATCAATAGGTAAGAATAACCTATCAAAGCATTGCATGTTTTGGTTACCTAAACTAGGTTGTAACCTTAGACATACTCACTAAGCATAGAGTTATCAAGCCCTTAATCACATAGTAGAAGCACATGACATAGAATCCAAGAATAATCTATCAAAGGGAGATCCTAAGCAATAGATTATCAAATCTCCTAAATATCATGCCATTAACAACACTTCCATAAACTCCATTCCATTGTCACTATGAAAATATAGCAATATAATCATAGGAGAAAAACCATCTAAGACAAGATATTTAACTCAAGATGATTATGTATAGGTATTGAAATTCATTACATCAAATGAAGAGCTCTAGTTCATGGAAGGATTACATACATATATTAACCCTCAAATATAAATCAAAACAAAGCAAAGCTTACAAAATGGAGCTTCATCACCTCCCTAGAGAAGGTTTAGTTACCCATGGTGGCCCTAGATGAAGGAAGAAGCAAGGCTTTCCCCTCCATTTTCGAGCTTCCTCCTTGAAGCTTCAAGAACTCCTCCTCTTTGCTCTCTTCTCTCTCCTCTATCTTGCAAAAATTCAAGGATATGAAATGTGTGGCCTTTGGTTGCCTTTTGTCCTCCAACAAAACCCTCTCTCTCCTCCAAAAAACATCCCCAACCACCTCATTAATAGGGAAATCCAAAGTTGGAAATTTCAGAGCACAAGTGGGCTGTCTCGTGGAGCAAACTGCCCAAATTTCAAGTGCTCAAAATAGGGCCTCGAGCACTCGAATTTAGTGTAAAAAGCTCCATGCTTCACTTGCTCCGCCCAGACCTACTTTGATGAAATGGCCATAACTTTGTGCTCCGAACTCCGAATGACGAACCGTTTAAAGATTTGGAGAGCTGATTCAGAGCTTTAAAAACTTCATGTTTTGATAAAGACCCAAATCTCAAGTCTGATTGGTCGAAAATGGGGAGAAAGGCAGTACTTCAGTGCTGCTAGGCAGTTCTGTGCACCTCTGGTAACAAGGCCATAACTCTCTGCTTCGAGCTTCGAATGATGAACCGTTTGAAGATTTAGAAAGCTAATTCAGAGCTCTAAATCTTTCATGTTATGATGGAAGTCCAGTTCTCGAGATTTCAGGGTCAAAATGGCGAGCAAAGTCCTGACTCCACTGCTGATCTCGTGAAGCAATCTGCCCTAATTTCGAGCACTCGAAATAAGGCCTCGAGCATTCGAAAATTGGCCAGAATGCCTTATGCTTGGTTTGCTCCGCCCGGACCTACTTTGGTAAAACGGTCATAACTTTGCGCTCTGAACTCCAAATGATGAACCGTTTGAAGATTTGGAAAGCTAATTCAGAGCTCTAAAAACTTCATGTTTTGGTGGAGATCCAATTCTCAAGGATGGTTGGTCGAAATTGAAGAGCAAGGCAAAAATTCATTGCTGCCAGGCAGTTCTGAGCACCTATGATAAGAAGATCATAACTCTCTGCTCCGAACTCCGAATGACAAACCGCTTGAAGATTTAGAAAGCTGATTCAGAGCTCTAAATATGTCATGTTATGAGGGAAGTCCAGTTCTTGAGTTTACAAGGTCAAAATGGCGAGCAAAGTCCAGGTTCCACTGCTGCCAGAAATTCAGCATTGTGACCTTTGATGTTTAAAACTCCACAAAGCATCCTTCTTGCTTCTTTTTGGCCAATGAACCTGAAAATATGCAAAAACATGCATATGAAGGTAATCTACATAATTAAACAAAAAATGGACTTAAATAATGCAATTAAGGGCACTTGAATATGCAATATTCGGCGCTTATCACCTATCTCATCCACCACCGGGCCAGACTCCATCTCTTGTAAACCTTTTTAAAAAGTATTGAGATGGAATATTTTGAATATTCATGACCATAAACACCTTTACGATATGCCGGCATAAATATCTTGCAAATTCAAAAAGTTGATATGTACATTTTACATCAATATATGTAGCAGAGCTACAAATAGTAACAAACTGCCCCCATCTTTTTGGTTTCCTCTCCACATAATAAAATTTGTTTTTTCTATATTCCCAGTCATTTCATGATTATAGTTAAGACCTAATAATAACTCTTCTTAGAACATTTTAAAGATTGCTCTTGTATAAATTTCAAAAGCATTTTCTTCAATGTTCATTCCAATCTTTAAAAAGGCTTATTATAAAGCGTCCCAAAATCTTCATCATTTTCTATTTCCCTTTTATGTATGACAACTCTTTCATATTGCTTTACAAATTTATATAGTGGCATATCTTTCTTCAAGTACCCATTAAAGTAGGCATTTATGCTTTGTGTTGTGTGCATAGCTGCACAAAAACATCACGTGTATAAACAACTGCCCATTTTTCCCTTTTCCCATATAACCCTGTCAACCATTTATTATCTCTCAAGCTATACTTTTTTAATATTGCTTCCCAACTAAGTTGGAAATCTTCTATGGATTCATATCCGTATAGGCAATTATAGAAATCATTTTAAAATCCATTATGTGCATTGTATATACTTCCCAACTTTTTGGTAACATTTCTTATGATATGCCAAAGACAAAATCGATGTTGAATGCCTGGTAATGCATGCGATATTGCCTCGGCAATTGCAGACTCTTGGTCAGTAAGAATCACTTTAGGTTGTTTTCCATGCATCATTTTTATCTATTTTGAAATTACCCAAAAGAAATATTCATCCGTTTCATAAAAAAGAAGTGCACTACCAAACAACACTATTTGATAATAATTATTTACCCCTACAATAGGGACAAATGGCATACCATACTTATTCGTCTCATATGTTGGGTCAAAACAAACAACATCCCCAAAATAGTGATAGTCCATTCTTGATCTAGAATATGCTCCAAAAAAATTTGTCATCCTACCAACTGAATCAACTTGAATTGAATAATAGAATGACCGATTAATGGTTTGTTGAATTTCAAGAAAATTAAGAACAACTTGCACATCTCCATTTTTAATTTCTATTCTTCTTTTAAAACTCAAAAACTTTCTTGCATCTTTTGATGTAAAACCAATATTACGATACCCGCCAGCTTCAAGTGCCAAAAAAAACTCATCATCAAATTTTTCTTTACGCCAGATTCACGCATATTTGATAACATTTGACTATGACTTTTTTTTTACCTTTCTATGTGATGTCGACATATGTTTTTTACTTGGAGTTACAAGAGAATGATTATGTTCTTCAACGATTTTAGAGACAACCCATTTATCTTCTCTTTTAATAAATGATATATTTGCTTTGCAACCCATTCTTGTTTTAGCAAATTGCATTTTATCCCCTTCATTTACCTTGAATCTTAGTTTTCTAAAACCTTGAAGTGAACAACAAAATCGATGGCCAATTACATCTCCCGTATTCTTAGATGTTTGAGAAGAACTTTTTCGGACACTAAATCCCTTATTATAAGCATATCCATTATAAAATTCAAATACCTCATCTATGGATTTAAATTCCAACCTAACATATGAAACAAAATCCTTTTTTTCATCACAAGGAATAATATCATTTGTTTGAACAACCTCCACATCATCCTCAACAAAATTAGGGCAAGTGTAATCTTGATTTTTATGTTGCAAAACATTTTCATCCAAATCTTGAATTACATCATCCATTTTAATCTACACAAAAGAGAATAATGTAGAATAAATTCACTAATTAAGAAAAGGTAAAAGCAAATTCACTTTAACATGTTCTAAGGAACTCCAAAATAATTATATAAAAAATATTATGACCAATGGAAATCATAATGCATTTATGTTTAGATAAACCAGAGTATTGCAAAGGACATCCATAATAGTCTTATTCTCAGTCATGATTTGATAACTAATCGTGTCCAATACAACAAATACACACATCTGATCAATTGAAATGAATGATTGCCACAATTAGATGTAAAAAGACAAATAAGAACATCACGCTACAAGGACATGCTATACATATGTTCACAAATAAGAATATGATGGGATGAGATTTTGATGGTGAATTAACAATTTTTTTTTCTGTATTTTCCTTTCATCAACTCGCCCTAAATTCGGGATATAACTCTAAATAAAACTATTATCAAATTATCACCTTACATTAAGAAGAAAACCAGCTGAATCGAGATTAGAGACTACACCTACTAAGCAGATTTATAATCAGACAAAATTTTGATGCGAACCAGTGCACCATACCCATTCAAATAGGACGCGTCTTGTATGAACCAGTGCACCCCAATATGAACAGGCGTTTTAGTGATGGTTCGGACTGAAGTGAAAAGGCACCTACATGCCTATAAATACCCCCTTTTGGTTCATTTGTAATATACCAATTCAAAATCTTTCTTTACATATTTATAAAATTCTCTCATTCTTTTTGCCTTTCTTCTTAGCATACTTATAGTTGTAGTTCTAGTGTGTGAGTTTGAGTCTGGTCCATAGAGATAATACTACATTGAGTTGGTTCGCTCATTTCTCCAATTTGAAGTGCTGCCACCGAGGAATGAAAGATCGTTGTATCATAGGAGACAGACGCTACAGAGTCCGTCAGCACCATAACAGAGCAAATTTGTCTTTTAAGGATATAGAATTAAATTATAGCGTCACCCTATTAACAGATTCTTTATATATATAGTTTTATTTATATTATTGTATTCATTTATACTTATATTTTAATTTTTTGTATAATATTTAAATAGCATCAATCCACTATTATATATATATATAAATAGTACTTATTTATCAACATAAAAAACTTACAGGCAGAGTGAATCATTGGCGGCAAGGGTATGTTATTGTCGGGAAGGAAAAGTGAAAGTGAGGGGATTGGGGCGTGAAGTTAATCCTAAAAAAGTAATGTGAAGCAAGTAGATTTGTAAAAGTTACGTGGAGTCTTAAAAATGACATATGATTTGTTGTTATTGGTAGATAAGATGTATAAAATAATGGCTTGAGCTAAAAATGAGTAGTTCAAATTTTTGATGTAAATATACTATGACATATTAAATTAATACAAAAAAATATATATGGACAACCATTAGAGATGTTCCGTGGTGTTCACTGATGTCTCCTTAGTAACAGAGTTATACACTACCCCCAAGTAGTTGTTAAATACCTCCGATTAATCACAATCTCCCGTTTATCTTGATAATAAAAAAATGAAATGTTGTGATTGATTGAGGTATTTAATAAACTACTATTCCGAAGATACCAAATAATTTCTCGTTAGTGACCTTAATCAAATATAGCATACGATATGTCAATATTTATACTATAATATATATATATATATTTTAAAATTTTCCGTAGGGGTGCACAAAAGCGCGAGTGGATCCTCTGCTACGAGTGTCTTTACCGCTTTGGACGGCCAGATCGCTTCCCACACTACTCTGTGAAGTGATCGTGGCCGTCGACTGCGGTAGAATTCTTGTAACGTGTATAAAGCTTGAAACCCTAGTAAACTTACGTTCTCTTCGGGGTTTTTTTACACAGAGAGGCATAACTCAGCGTAGCCAGCAGGTATGAGAACTATTCTCTCTCTCTCTCTCTCTCTCTCTATCTAAACACGTTATACAATCAATATCTGATTTGTGGTATTCGAATTTGAGCTCTGCTTCGCAATTTCTGATACGTTTCTGTTCGGTTGATTTCAAAACTACTCTTAAACTTAATTGATGTGTTGATAACTAGGTTCAAATTTGAACCTGTCAAATGATAATTATTCTTATAATTTAATTTCGTGTTTTTATTATTTTTACTTGTTGGAATCTTAGTTTTATGAAATATTGGATGACTGAAATGGAATTTATGGTGATATGTTTGCATCTCGGTAAGATGATTTTTGTAAAACTTTTTTCTGTAAAATATCAATCCTTTATTTATCTTGATAAATGTTGTTCTTGAAGCTTAGAGAAAGTTATTTACGTCACTTTGTCTAGCTTGAATAAAGTGGGAAAATCCCTTATCTCGAAAACTTAATTTTCCCCCCTCCATGATCACCTTTTGCAGAACTTAATTTGTTAATTGGGTAGAAAGAATATTACATCAAATGTTTGGGAAACATGGTACTGGTTAAAATCTTTAGTAGTATATGAATTGGACACTTTTTTTTCTTGGTTGTCGGAATGGAAATATATGATTCATTTATCCTACCCCAAGCAGTTGGGAAAATGGCTTAAAATCTTGGAACATCTCCTTTATAAAAGAAGGTGATGAGGTAAAATGGTTATTAGACTGTGAGAACTCCTGGATAGTTGGGTTGTGAAAAATTTCGGAAAGAAGAAAGGATCTTATTACTTAATTTGCAGTTTTAAGGTGCATGCTATTTATGTGAGAAATTGTTGGACTAAACTCTAGATTGAACGGTTTGGATGCTTATAGAAATATGTCCTCTCCAATCATTTAGAGTTTAATGTGAAGCATGGACATCGACTAGGCCACTAGGGACACAAGCATGACACGCCGCGGACACAACAATAAAGTACTATTATTTTATATTTAGAAATAAGTATATGTGACAAACTTTACATTATGATAAGTCGATTTAATATCCTATGACTGTAACATGAATGCTGTAGCTTGTGAACCATGTCGATCAACTAGACAAAGACATAGTAATCTCTTACATATATGTGCATGCGCATGTCTGTAAATACGTATATGTACATAGACACAATTCTGATTAGCCCTCTCCTGCATGCACACTTTTTAACTTTTTCATTAAAACTTCCTACTTGTACTGAATAAGGATCTCATTAAGCTTTTTAATGAAATTTTATAAACCTTTAGGTTTCATTTTGATTGACGGATTTCAAAAGAATGGATATAAATTTAAGCGTGTAAGAAATATAGCATGATGGGTTTTAGAGGATTTCAAATAAATGGATTGGAGAGGATTATATGTGTGGATTTCAGATAACAAAGAGGTGATAGAAGTTATTTGAAATCCATGTCAACAAGGATTAAAATTGCGCAACGATTGTAATAAAATATTTACCCTATACCTTTAATCTAACATCACCTTGAACTTTGGAATCCAAGTTAAATAGCTAACCTTTTATGTAAACTCAAATCCCTTGATTTTAAATCCATTTATTTATCAAAGTGAATCCGTAGTTTAATTTTTCTTTACTATTATACTATCTTGGATACTTGGAGAGTCTTTTTCAACATCCTCTGATGGTCATATGGAATTCTATTTTGAATTATGGACCCATCTGACATGTATCATACATGTTTCCGGGAGTGTAAATGAACTTTTGATGTCCAACTTGGACATGGCTCCTTCTTAGTTTACAGATATGGGTTTCACAAGGAAGGTGGTCATGTTTGCTGTGACGTAGTGTCTGTAAAATGCTGTCTTTTTCTTTACATTTTTTATATTTTTTTATTTAATTTTCTCTACTTTTTTTTATATTTTCCTTATTGTTTTGGAGAGTCTTTTTCAACATCCTTTGATGGTCATATGGAATTCTATTTTGAATTATGGACCCATCTGACATGTATTATACATGTTTCCGGGAGTGTGCATGAAGTGTTGATATCCAACTTGGACATGGCTCCCTCTTAGTTTACAGATATGGGTTTCATGAAGGTGGCCATGTTTGCTGTGATGTAGTGTCTATAAAATGTTCTTTTTCTTTACCTTCTTTTTCCTTTTATTTTTTTTAATTTAATTTTCTCTACTTTTTTCTTTTCCTTATTGTTTCTAAATGCTCAATCATGTTCCATTTTGGTGTCTATTTGATAGAAACCATGGCCGTTCCTTTGCTCACCAAGAAAATAGTGAAGAAGCGTGGCAAAAAATTCAAGAGGACCCAAAGTGACTGGAAGATTTCTGTGAAGGTATATTTTGCTTTCTCCATTTGAACCAGCTTTAATCTGAAATTTTACATCTGGTTAAGTATTATTTTTGTTGGTAATAGTAGGCCACTTTCCTGAATGTTTAAATGAACTCCACAACATCTTCCTGCTAGTGTGGAAATTGCAGAGGTACCGTTGTTCTTGTAACATGGTGGATACAAACACTGTAATTAGTGCATAATAATATAAATATATTCACATATGAGGAGGGTAGCATGTTGCCCCTTATTATTGTGGGAAATTTTGTGTGATAAATTCCCTATAGTTGGTTAAATTTTAAACATTTCTTTGTGTGATAACCATTGAATTGTTTGAAGTTTAGTCATGCCTTCTCATTTTGTGGCACATCTCCTAGGTTTGATTAATCATTGGTTTCTATTTGGGTTGTTGGCATTTTGTGCCAAACTGAGTATTGCATTTTTAAGTCTTCGTTCAATTGAAGTCGGTCCATGAGATTTGTGACATTTGAGTATGGCTTGTTTTGCTAGGGTGGTATTTTTGAACCAAATATGGAACTACAAACTCCATTCAATCTATCTGTTGTAGCTAGAGTGCGTCTTTCAATTTGAATAATATCATTGTTACTGTCAGTAGCTATTCTTTCGATGGAAGATATTGGGACATTTTTTAGAACATGTTATCATAGTTACCTTTGGAACTTTTGGAGTGAAAAGTTTGGAGTTAGTATATTGTAATCGAAGTATATTTTGCATCGTGATAATGTTTAAGTGCATATGTGTAGTTCTTTAGGTTGATGATGAAGTTAGATTGGAATGTAGTTATTTGTTTTGTTCATTTTTTATTAAAATTTATGTTAGTTGAACTTGGATACACTTATTGGTGTGGTTATGTGTTTTAAGTGTAACATCATCTTGAATCTTAGGATACATGTACAAGGGCATATCTTGCACACTTAAAAACATAATATCCTACATACTTCTAAAAAAAAAAACATAATATCCTACATAAAAGTGTAACATAGGATACCAACGGGCAGTGGTCCAGCGGTACCAGGCTCCTACCTCTCAGAGGGAGGTTAGGGGCTCGTGCCTCGGTGGAGGCATGTGTGTGTGAGTACCAACTAAGAAAAAAAGTGTAACATTAGATGCTATTATCCTTTAAAGACACACTCAATGGTAATTGAAATTAGATGATATATTGTCAAAAATTAAGAGAAAAGGCAGCTCCAGTGCCAATTCCTCCTCCTCCCATCGTTTCAGAAATAGACAACCTTTCTTTCTTTGCTGTCAAATTGGAGCTGCTTTTATTTTATTTTTTTCAATCAAAATTAGAGGAAACAGGTGGCCAATTTGGGCACTCATGTCGGACACATATCCCATACCCACACTCATGTCGGGTCATGTTGACAGGAGTGTCCATGTAACAAAGATTAAGATTGATTGTATGTAACAAAGATCAAGATTGTTTGAGTCCATGTAACAAAGATTAAGATTGTTTTCTCATGAATAACTATATGAGTTTTATTTTAATTTTTTTGTAATGTCATGACCTCATACTTTTACTCCCCCCCTCTTTTCTTTCTCTAAATGTAATTCAACGAGTTGTGGAATAATTTTATCTTGATTTAATGCTGCCATGCCTAGCTGCGGAAGTAACATTTGGTATTTTGTTATCCTCTTTCTTTTTTTGTGGCATGATTTAGAGTTGCAATGGTTGTTAAACTGTTGTAATTAAGGCAGCTGGAATCTAGTTGCCAAGCTTGTTCCTAAGTAATGACTTGGTAACTAAGAAGCTTGTGTTGATTAAATATTTTATATCCCTGAATCTTTATACATATTTTTGACATTGGCAATATTTGGAATAAAAAATTTATGTAACATAAATTTAGTTTCTGGATTTTGTCTGACCCTTCAAATCGTCATGTCCTATTCATACATTAGTTGAAATGTATATGAATTCTTGCGGAGAAAGATAGAACATCTTAATGTTTGTTGACACTGTCTGCCTTCCTGCTGGTTGCACATCTTGGGAACTGCCTCACAACCACTCTGTTTCAATTCCATGATGCATTTATACGATCTGTTGGATACACTGTAATTGACCCCCACATGTCAATGTTTATGATGTGATCCATTCATTTAAACCTGTTAAGTCTGCTGGTATATTATGTTGACTTTGGTTTTATCAGTATTTTTTAGTCAGTGTTCAGTTTTTTTAGTCTTGTTTCTTTAAGTTTTGATGATTACGTGATTTAAAACTTAAAATTTGAAACCGAAATCAGGGTAATTGTATGTTATATATTTATTTAGTTTTCATATGTCTCCAAGACTGCTTTTATGTGGTATTAATTGGAATATGTTGTTAAAAAGAGGTTTGCTTCCTTATGTAGGAACAAATTTGTTTGCGTTAATCTTTATTGAGTGTTCATGCTCATTGAAAAATGCAAAATTTTGTCTCTGTATCCGTTTCTTTTGTATCGGTAAAGGCCATTCTTACATGCTTGGTGTCTTGTACAACTTGTGTAGTAATAGCTTGCCATGCTGATTGAAAACAAGAGATGCTTCTGGCATTTGGTTTCTTCAGGTTCCTTTTCTTTTAACATGGATAAATACCTATTGCCTAAACACTAATACCTCATTATTTGCATGTAAATGTGGGTGGCAGGAAAACTGGCGTAGGCCAAAGGGTATTGATTCACGTGTGAGGAGGAAGTTCAAAGGATGCGTTCTTATGCCCAACATTGGTTATGGCTCAGATAAGAAGACACGCCATTATCTTCCCAACGGCTTTAAGAAATTTGTTGTGCACAATGTCAAAGAGCTTGAAGTTTTACTTATGCACAACAGGTATAGTGGTTCCTTCACTTTCATGTCTGATTTTTTGGGATTTCTTTTATCTTTCTGCATATCAATCTGAATCCGCCACTCATCATTTCTGGTTTGTTGATTTAATGTCAGGACTTACTGTGCGGAGATTGCACACAATGTATCAACTCACAAAAGAAAGGATATTGTTGAGCGTGCAGCACAGCTGGATGTTGTTGTTACCAACAAATTAGCGAGGTTGCGCAGCCAGGAGGATGAGTGAGCATTGGTACAATTTTGTTTCAATATTCTATGCTTTAGGCTGTACTTTAAATGAAGTGGTTTTTCAGATTCTGCGAGTTTTTTGTCGAACCTGTATGGGTTACTATTTCTGTTAGTCACGCAATGACTTCTAGATGTTACTATTTCAGTTAGTTACGCAATGACTTCTGGATTATCAGTTATCTTGCTTGTTGATTTACTAATGAGTTATGACATATCATCCTTTGTGTTTCTGTGGTGAAATATGAGCTTATTATACTAAGCCTGGATACCGGAGGCTGGTCTTAAAATAAACTCTGCATTTTGTGGTGGAAGATTCCCCATTTAAAACATTATTTCCCATTGAGAAAAAATTGATATATATATATATATATATTTAAGAGTAGGATTGTTGTGTTTTGGGTCATTCTATGCACCATTTGTTTCGAAGTGAAGCCATTATTCCTAAAATGTTTTCAGTATAATTAGGTTGGGCAAGATGATTTTGTAACTCAAAAAATGACTTGGAGATATTTTTTAGGGGCACATTTTCAAGAGACATAAATACAGAAATATACATATACATCCGCAAGCTTTAAAGATGAATGTGTGCATATGCTTCCGTACTAAACATGCACCAACACACAATATGCACTTGACGCGTGTGTGCACACCTGTATAGATGTATTTAATATTAAAATATTTATAAATTCATGCACATATACTAGCTTAAATATTTCTGTATAGCATTAGCTTATCTGTTTGCCAATAAGTAGGTGCCTTTATCAGTCTTTATAGGCATGCGCTAATAGCAGTGTGTATTGGGTATAGTTCAGCAAAATTACTTTTGAAGTTTCGATCAATCACCGGCAAATAGGAAGGAAAATGATTTTTTTTTCTTCTTCATGTTATTATATGCTTTCCATGGGAAACTTTTTTTTCTTTTTTTTTTTTTTCCCCCCTCCTCGTGGAAGGAAAAAAAAGGACAAATATTGATTCTACAGGACTATCTAAAGAAATTGCTTCCCCTGATATTGATCTGGATTTTTCTTGGTCAAGGAAGGCTGCTTGCCCAAGTATCATGGATATATTTGACAGTTTAAAATTTTGCAAAGGTAGCATGGATAAGGTGTGGACAACTGTCATATAAAAATTAAATTTTTATTTATATAAGAATATTATGAAACTTTTATACTAGGAGTCTAGGAGTAGATCTGACATAATTTAGAAGATCAAGTTAGATTAAGTTGAGTTATTATTGTTAATGATTGTTAGTTATATTATATATGTTGTTATTCTACTACATTGTCATCACAATTATATTTTTGTTATGAAAAGTATCATGTATGATTAACTTGTGACCATGTGCATAATGTCAATTTATCTATCCAAGATTGTTCATGGATGTGTTTGTGTTAGGCTAGTGCTTAGGATCTAAAATAGTTAAATTTATCTTTAAATTTTGTACGTGAAGTGTCAAACACGTACATAAAGTGTCGGACACGGGAACGCGTCCTCAAAGGTCCGTATAAAGTGTCAGACATGGGAAAGTGTCCTCAAAGGTCCGTATTTGACACGGATACGACTCCTCAAATATGTCGTGTCTGTGCTTTACCAGCTGCTCTGCTTGTGGTTTAGAATCTTTTATTTGCAAAGATGATTTTGCAGAGATGTTCAAATACATATCATTACAACTTGTATGGTCATTTCGGCATTCCTACTGTTTGGAGTTAAATACTTGAGATCTCTTTTGGATGGAAGGTCGTAGTCTCAGTTAAATCACGTGTTATCTTTATTTTTGATCTCCAACTCGTACGCTCTTATCATTCATCTTCAATGTAGGTAAATCTAGAACCTCGGTGTCACCTTTGTTGGTTTAAGCTGGCTTTTTAGCAGTTAACCATGTGTGTATTTGTTAGATTTCTCGTGGTTTCATTTATGATTGACCACACAAACCAACCTCTTTAATCTTTCTTTTGCCTCTAAAACCCTTGTAACCACACAGGTCTCTCTCATCCCTTAACGACCTTTCCCTTTCTCTTTAAGTGCTTGAAAACGAGTTCTGTTTTTTTGCCCAAAATGACCAAAAAAAAGGGTAGAGGAGGAAACATAGTTCTCCAGGACTGACTAGTCTTTGATTTTAGGTGGTTTTCAAAGTTTGATTAATTCTTCCACTGTGTTCATTAATTGGTCACCAGTATTTTCATCCAACCATAAACATAAAGGAAGGTTAGAGATGAGGAAACAAAAATTTAGTACATTTGTAAACTCTTGACAGTGCAAAAACAAAGTAAATTGTCTTCCTTCTGATTGTATTATTTTCATTTGGGTAGATTATACTAACCTATGAGGTTTGGGCAAATTACACACAAGTAGATCATTTAGCGTTTATTACTTTGACTTTTTCCAAACCCATTTGATGCTTGTTAGAAGGTTATGCCTTGATTTTCATACAAGAGAAGGGCAAGAATTTCATTTAAGGGAAGGGTAAAATTGGAAATTTTACTTTGTTTAAATTCATGTAGATTTGGGCAAAATTCGCCGTCACCCAGTGATGGACTCAGAAAAATTTGTGAGAGGGGCAGACTTTTAATTTGTGTTATGGGGGCAAATTTATATAATGGGTCTATTTTTATATTTTCAATAGGTTTTCTTCATAAATTTTCAACAATTTAAAGTATAAAATGCAAAAATAAATAATCTAGAGGAGACGAATTGTAATTCTAGTGGAGGTATCTTCATAAATTCTAAAATATTTAAGGTATAAAAGAAAAATATAAAAACTTCAGTGTGGGCATCCGCCCTTACTGTCCTATGTTAGGTTCGTGCCTGGCTATACCTAACCTTTAGTGGGGAGCATCAATGGTGTTGTAGGAAGATGGTCTTTGAGTTTCATTCATAATAAGAATTCTCAAAAGAAAATAAAATTACTAGAGGTGTTGAACATGCGTGCCAAATTTTAGGGGAGGTCAGAATAATAGACCTACCCGTATTTAATTTGTCCAAATTTCAGATGAGGTTAGTGTAATTTACCCTCCTCATTTTTTTGGCTGGTTTCAAATTATTAAAAACATAGCGCTTGTCCAAATATGGGGGAAAACATAAAAACATGAAAATGTTGGTCAAAAAAAAAAGTCAGGATTGAAAATAATACTAAATTACGTTTTATAAATGAATAAAACAATTGTGACATGTTTTTATTTTGTTAAATGGCCTATTAGTCAAAACAATATGATTTGGTTAATTAATGGTAGGGTCATCTGCCTTGGACGTTTGGGCAACAAGTTTCGTCCCAAATGTATCTAGAGAAATTTTTACAAGCATGACTTGAGGAAAGTGTAAATCTCATATTTTCTTCACATTGGCTGGACATACTTTGAACACTTTAAAGAAGAAAAGACTATGTCAATAGTGGTGGCTTTTGACCCATCAAAAAATTCAATTGTTGTGACGATTGTGATACCAATTCTAACCAAACTTCTCCATAATAAGGTTTTTCTTATTTAACCTAGAAGTATCAGCCTCTTACCTCCCAAAGGGAGGTTAGGGGTTTAAGTCTCAGAAGAGACTAGTGTGTGTGAGTACCAATTAAGAAGAAAAAAAAAAAAAAAAGATGGCATGAGTGCAAGTTATCCGTACCTATTTTCGTAAGTCTTGGTATAACGGTCTAACATGTTCGAATCATGAAAATCGGTAATCTCGTGCACCGACTTTACCTAAGAAGATAAAGTCTGAGAGTAAGAGTCTTACAGGTCCGAATCATGAAAACTTTTCTGCATGTTGGCGAAAATCTCGTGCACTGAATTTGACTTTTGCCGTTTATCAACGTTTCTAAACCTAACCATAAAAACTCAATTACCAAATGTAATGAAACATAATGTGATGAACGGATTTCATGCACAATTACCAAATGACCTCTAGTCTAATGATTTTGGACAAAATATCACATGTTCACGATTTTTGAGTGGTGACAATTGGCAAAATTTTAAGCAATGGGGTCACAAAAAACAAAGGCCAACAAACAAACAGTTGAGTTGTGTGAGCAATTATTGGTAGCCTAAAAAAGGCCAAATTAAAGTTGTGTGGCAATGTGGGCGGTGATAGTTGATGAAGCTGTGTGGTGGTGGTGGTGGTGGTGGTTCTTGAAAATCAATGAGGTAGTTATCACTTGTAGGACTCCGAATGCTCATGGCTTTGTCTCTTGTTAGATTCTCGTGATGCTATGAAAAATTCCCATTTTCAATCGGCATAATCATATTTTATATTTATTTGTGTACGTGTGAAGAAAACCTATTTTCTTCAAGAGTTTTTGGCTCTTTTACATAATCTGGGAAAGCTGTTGGCTGTGGGGTTGGTGTTCCATCACATCTATATATAATTATATATATATATATAGATATAGATATAGATATTCATTTATTTATCCTTGATAGATGGGTATTAAGTATTTGGTTGACATTCTATACATTTATGTCACAATATCCACATTCTGGCAAATTTTTTATTGGGATAAAAAAATTCGTAGGAAAGCTGTGAATCCAGGTGGGTTGTTGGTACAGTGGTTTAACATTGTTGGTCTACGATAAAACCCCCCAAATTCACCCCCCCCCCCCCCAAAAAATAAAATAAAATAAAATGGAAGTTGGAAATTGCATTATAGGTATCTCATAATTATTATAACTACAATTTTAACCATAAAATGTTAATGAATTTGATCAAGTCAAGTCATATTTAGATGGGATGAAATAGAAATATAAGGGATAATAACATTTTACTCCTTTGTAGATTGTTTAGATAGAAGTGAGAACTCGAATATAGTTTTAAATATAACATTAACCTTTTGTTTTGTTCGGATTTAAGCAACATTGGCCTTTCTTATCATAAAATCTTAAAATGTGCTTGAAAAATGCTATTTTGTTTATATGCTGAACAAATAAAAGTATAATGAATATAATAGTCATTTAACGCATTCGGTAAAAAATACCGATACGAAAAGCCATTATTTTGAAATTATAAAAGAGGTTTATATTATTTAGACAATTTACAGAGAAAGTATGTGTAAACAATGTAATTATTTCAAATATTAAATAGTAGCTAGTCTATTTTTCACCAATGACAAAACACGAAAAAATATCAATTTTTTTTTTTTTTAATAATAAAAACAGAGACCCTAAATTATCAAATGTATTCTTATTAAACAATAATCATAACAGTTATCAAACAAGTCATATTTAAGTTAATTCATTAATCGAGATATCTCATAGATTGAATTTTTATTCTAAATACTACAAACAAAAAAAAGACTTAACCTGATGTCACTTGAAGTGTTAAGTTTCATAATCGATTCATGTTATATGCAAACAATTCTAGAAATAAATATTATATAAAATTTTATCATTCAAAAATAAAAAAATATTAAGATCTCCTTTGCAAAATACTCCATACGTAAAAACAATTACTCTCTACACTAATTTTAAAATACTGTTACGATAAACTATGTTTCGAGAGAGTGACGAAAGACACTAAACTTTGAATATTATTTAAACAAAAAAATGACGGTTTTCAAATTTGGACAGAACACGTTCACCATAGTATATTCAAATCACATAAAGCATCTAAAATAGAATAATGTTAATAAGTTGATTAATTTATATTTGTAGTTCAAAAACTTGACATCATCCATGACGTACCACAGACTTTGGAGTAGCTTCGAATGAATAAAAAAATTAGTTATAGAGAAATAGTTTAGAAAATAGTAAAAAATTTGTCACTTTGGGAGCGGAGATTCACTGCTTCGACCCACACACCATTGTTTATGTTCTCCTCATTACTCTTACTTCCAAAAGCTTCTTGGACAAAAGACTCCACATCAATTTCTTTATTTCCTAATGTATCCTCGTCCTCCGGCAGTAGAGGAATAAACGGTGGCCGTTCGATTTGCCAGATCAGATCCCAATCAACCCCTCGGAAGAAATCGTGGCCCTTGATCCCCTCCAGTGAGATCCTCAGCATTGGGTCCTTTTCCAGCAACTTTGCAATCAAGTCCCTCAACGGCGTCGGCTCTCCGGTTAGCTCCGGCGACTTCTTGAGTATCCGGTGGAACGTCTCTTTCCTGTTCGACCCCCGGAACGGCGTCGTTCCATACAACATCTCGTACAACATAACGCCCAAGCACCAACAGTCCACGGCGAAATCGTGGCCCTTGCCTAGTATGATCTCCGGTGCCACGTAGTCCTCCGTCCCGACGAACGATTTCGACTTCGCAGCCGAGTCCGACTCGAAACTCGCCGAGTCGACACCGATCTCCGGCAGAGGCGCCGAGTCTTCCGGCGAAATGCCCGAGTTCCAACACCTCTGGAACGACGGAAATCGTTTCTTCTTAATCGGCGCGGATTTCGAGACTGATTTAACAATCGGCCGACGAGGTTCGGGAGATTTTGGCGGGAGTTTTGTCGATAGATCGAAATCAACGAGCATTAGATGCCCGTTCTCTTGAATCACTACATTTTCTGGCTTCAAATCTCTGTAAACAATCCCTAATCCGTGCAAATACTCCAATGCCAGTATCAATTCCGCAGCATAAAACCTGAAGAATGAATCAGTTTAGAGAGAGAAACTAAAACAAAATGCAGAGAACATATATGGCAACAAATTTTACCTGATGATATCGTCGGAGAACATTTTCTCGGTTTGATTATTTCTGAGAGAGTTGAGATCGCGTCCAGGACAGTAATCGATGGCATAGCCGATGATCTCGTCGGTGGAGAGAACTCCTCGAAGTCTGGGAAGGAGTGGATGTCGGAAACTTCTCAACACTTCTTGTTCGAAGCAGATTCGTCTATTCTCATTGAGATCTCCATTGTTGTCGACCTTGCTATTCTGAATCGAGGCTTTGGAAATTGCCTTCAGAGCAAGAAATTCGTTATTGGTCGACTGCTGTTGATCTGGTTGGACCAGGAACACCACGCCTTTGGCTCCGCGACCGAGGACGGAGATGACTTTCAGTTGGCGGAGCTCCAACAACGGGATGTCGTTTTGGCTGTGGTGGTGGTGATCAGGTCCGCCGTTCATGGCGGAAGTGACTGACCGACAACGTACGAGCTTAGACGAGTGTTGGTGCAGTTTATACGAGAGAGGATTTGGGTAATTTAGAGAGAGAATGAAGGTTGGTGATGGATTCTGCGACCTGCTTATTTGTTACACACTACACGCGCTTTTGGAGAAGAGGCTGAGAATATATAGCAGTATGAATCAGGTTTCTTGCTGAGGAAGATAGACTACAGAGGGATGAATAAAAATGAAATGAGACTGCGAAAGCGACGTGGTTAAAATAATTGTGCCACCTGTGAATTATTCACGGGGAAGGTAGAGAGACTTTTGATAAAGAGTGTTTGGATTTGTCGGGGGTTTGTTTTGTAATTTCTTCCTTCTCGAACAAGTATCAAACTTCAGTCAAATTAAAAAACTCAGACTTATTTGTACAGTATACCCAGAATTTGAACTTCCACGCGTTTTATGTATTTGAAAGTACCACAATTGGTTTGGTAATATTTAAGTCACAGATGTGTGTCATACAATTCAGGTACAACTCAAACTCTAATCAAACTCTGTGAATTTATGAATATTATTAAATAACAAGCACCAACATGGAGTCACATATTGCCCTGCGCCCCACTGGCCCAATGTGGCTACTTAATAAGTTAATAAACTTCTAGTTAATCGTTTGGGCCCAATGTGAATCTTTAATATATATATATATATATATATATATATATATATATAACGTATATTTACTTTAGTCTATCTAATTTTCTAAAATTTTAACAAATGTTCCTATAAAATTCTCATTTTCTACAAATCTCTATCTCTCCTTTTTTTCTTAATTTTCTTTTTTACTTTTTCAAGTTTCTTTTATTCCTTTAAAAAAATTTGCATTCACCTTCTTCAATAAAACCCTATTTTTTCTTTTCAAAATTCTTTTATATGTAGTATTTATTTATTTTTTAATTTTTTTTTCACTACAATTTTATGAACTTAATGTTCATACTTTATAATTTTGAACTTCTCTAACGAATACCAAGGGCCTTGTGGATGGTGAGGATTCGTGTGACAATCATTGTGGGTGGATGCGAGATACTGGACGAGTTACCACACTAACATGTTATAGGGTGTCATAATCCCACATTGCTTGGGAAGGTGAAGTGTTATATGTAAGGTTCAATACTCTTATACGAAACAACGCGTTTCAAAGTCGTGATGATTGTGAATTTATCAAAACTCCGTAGTTAAACATGTTTAATTTGAAATAGTACCAGGATGAGTAATATGGAGAACTCAAAAGTAGACAACATTATACTTGAATAAGATGAGAGTTGTCACACTTTGAGTCTCTAAAGACGCAAAGTGAGTGTGTGTGTTTCTATTATATATATTACTATATATATTTTTAGAATAATGACATGTATTTGAATTTTGATTACTGGAATTTTATTTTTTGACCAGCTGTTTTGTTGCACTTTTAGTTAAGAAGATTAAAAAATAAAAAAAAATGAAGTGGTCAAGCTCATTGCAGCCTTGAAATAAATTTTTGGCTGTGACTCTATAAGCACCCGTAAATAAAACATGATGAATTTATGTCCAACCCATTCAAAATAAGTCTAATTCAAGCTCGCTCTTGGGTAATAAAAATTAAGCTCGATTGGAATTTGTTAGATTTGTGAGATCAAGTTGACTTTTTGTCACACCGCACACTCTCTTCTTGGTGTTTGCATATTTGCTCAAAAAACCTCTACATTTTTAAAGGGTCTATATATATAAATTTCAACAATTTCTCCCCGAGCGATATGAGACATCACAATCATTCCCTCATGGAACCCAGGTCTTCGCCAGCTTGACTCGTGTGGGCTTGTGCATGCTCCACATTATCAGTTTGGAATTGATTCTGATACCATCTGTTACAACTCGCCCAAAACTCGTGAAGATATTGTCTACTTTGTATATTTTTCTCTCGGATTTTTTTCGAAAAGAAGTATCTACACATATAAGTCTTAGCAACTTCTCTCTCTTCCCGCCAAATAATGTGGGACGTAATAGTTTCGATTTAGATTGAATAATTTATATTCGAGTTGAAATTTAGAAGTTCAATTTCTAACCCAATCAATAGATGTGTAAGAAGAGGATTGCTGTGTATATTTTTTATTTCACTAATGGTATATGCACTCCTTTCAAATAATTTATATTCAAGTTGAAATTTAAAAGTTCAATTTCTAACCCTATCAATAGATGTGTAAGATGAGGATTGCTGTGTATATTTTTGAATTCACTAGTTGTATATGCACTCCTTTCAAAGCGAAATGTGAGAAAATCAGGTCTCACCTACAAGAATGTGGGCGGATTCGGGTATTGTCAATGAAGTGGGTTAATATTTTTTTTGGTGGGCTAATACTAGTATTTTATTTTATTTTTTATTTTTTATTTTGCCGCGGGGGGGGGGGGGTTGGTTAGTGGCCTATCAGTATCAGTTTTTTACTTCCCAAAGGAAAGTCATGACTTCATGTCTCAGATCAGACATGTATGTGTGAGTACCAATTAGAAAAAAAAAAATATTGCCTATAGTAATTTTTTTTTTTGGTGGGCTCTCGCCCCTAAATCCGTCCTTGCTTTATACAAGAACTATAAGCTTTGCTTGATTAATTGATAGCGCAAAGTGAAAGTAAATTGAATAAAAAGAAAATAAGTATTTCTTTGATTAACATGAAAATTATGTGAAAATTACTATTTTATGATTTGAAATATCATGAATTGTATCATAAAAGAAAGGCCATTATTATAAAGTTTTTTTTTCATAAAGCTTTCTCATTAAAAAAAAAATTACTATGTGTTTAGGTAAATAAAATTTTATAAAAAAAAATTAGGTGGTTATGAAAATTACTCTCTTAAAAAAATTCAAAAGGAAAATTTTAGCATGAGCATGACCCTATGGGTGTATTTTGAAAATACAAACAGATTTATGACAAATGAAACAAATGTTACATCAGGCCTTTAAATCAATAACCACACATCATCAGGTGTTTGTAGGCCCATAATGAACCTGTTTTCACTTACCAAAGCCTGTCCTTATATAATCAGGGCTTAGAATCTAAGTCCAGCCCATTCATGCAGTCTGTTAAAATCATGTGTAGATCTCTTTATGTTGGGCTGACCAGCCCACTTGACTATCTATACCTTTGTAAGTACTTTAAGAAGCTTTTTGGTGTTGTTTGACTATCCTAGACTCTTTTAATGGTGCTGCATTTTGTCAACATATGAATTTTATTTTATTTTAACACATTTACTTCTCTTTTTTAACACTTTAGTTATATCTTTTAACACATTAAATTTGGCCAGATAATTTTAACATGTTGAAAGTAAATTTATTTGGGTTGAAAAACTCCAAGTATGGTGTTGTGTATGACAGAGCATCCAGACTCGCTGAATTTACCTTAATTTGACTTTATGAAATCGAATATAACTTCACACATTTTTTTTTTTTTTTTTAATAATTACTTGATAATTTAATTGAATTCATGATATTTTTTTAACAAAAAATGTTTGGAGAAAATTTGATGTATGTATTTATTTATTTATTTGTTGACTATAGTTGTTACCCATATATTGTCACCGTGTGTATGCATTCTCCATTCCAAATGCGTTAAGCAATTATAAAAAAAATTCCTTTCAAAATATTCAAACTCTAAGCTCGAAACTGAATATGTGAAGACTAGGGTTGCAAATGAACCAAGTTATTGGCAAATAACTCAGGTTTGCCTCATACTTATTTGTTAAGGAAATGAGCTGAGCTTGATCTTGAGATTAATTTCTAAACTCTTAATAAACGAGTTGATTTTGAAAATATTGAGCTCGACTCATCTAGACTTACAAATATAAAATTAAGTAGACTCGTATTAATATAAACTTGTATATTAATATAAACTTGTATAAATTCATGAACACATTCATAAATATAGGTATGTGTAAACTCATACATAATTTTATGAACGTACAAAAATAATACTAAATATGAGTTCAAATAAAGTTGGACGGCTCTACGGGACGGACTTTTTCAAAATAATACCGACAAGAGTTTGAGCTGAACTTTTTTACTCGACTCCATCGGCTGATTTGTGGCCCTAACCCGCAAACCACTTTAGCTTGTACGAGAAGGATGTATAATCGCATTAAATTGTACCATACATTCATGGTACATAATTGAGATGGTAGCATAAAATTGTGTGATGTCAGTGGATAAAGTGGGGTCGTATGAATGTACAGATGTGATAATGTATTCATAAATAGCAGACACGTTTTGGATTTGGATACAAAATGAACCTGTGGATAAACCATCACCAACCACCAACTGTTTGTTAATAATACACACACATCACACACTCCCAAAACCTCCAAACCTTTGAAGCATATCCAAATTCATATTCATATTCATATGAGCTACACTGAACCCATGATTTCAATCCAAGATAATGCCTATTTCTTGTAGATGGAGGCTCGACGTCGTCTCGCCATTCTCTGTTCTCACATTCGCCCAATAACCGATTTGGGTAATTCGGAAAATCCGAAACCCAAACGTTTCCCTTGCGTTTCGGCTTCGAATTGTGCTTCGATTTCGGATGGTGAGAATGGAAATCCGGAAAATAATTGCATTTTTTGCAAGATTATTCGAGGCGAATCTCCTGCTTTGAAGGTATAAACTGACTCTTTTTTTATTTTTTATTTTATGTAGAATTTCGTTTTGTTCTCTTTTTGGGGATTATTGTGTTCTGGGTTTCGTGATGCTGATGTTTCTGATCTTCGTAAACAAGGTGGTTTAACAATCTGGGTTCATCTTATTTTTGGGGTTTTCCTAATTTTAGTGGTGGATTTATTATTTTTTTATGATTTTGTTTTTTCATTCGTTAGTCTCAGATATTGCTACTACAATTCTCTGCCTTATTAGTTTATCTGCTATTGGTTTTTTGGTGCATTAATAGTCATTGCTATCTTAAATTCTTAATGCAATGTCTTTGGACATGCATGTAAATTTTGGGACTCTAAGTATTTGTTTTTAGGATGTGATGATGGCTAATAGTACTTCAAGGAATTACATAAGATAGGGGGAAAGGGATTTTAGGTCAAAGAGTGTGAACAATGTAGCCCTTGTGCTGAAGCAGCTTTGGTGGACTGGTGTTCTCTCATGCAATCTCTTTCTTTTGATGTAACAACTTATGGCGAAATCCCAAGTCTGGAGACTTAGTAGGCGAGGTTTTAGTTGTGATAAGAAAAGAGTGGTTGTACTGCAATGGGATCAGGATTTGCAGGTGTTGTGGGAGAGTGTTTGGGTGGGTTTTACCGGGTTGCGTGGGGTAGGGAATGCATTCTATCTGATCTATCTTGTAATCTTCAAGTTGATAGAGGATTCAGCCTCTTGCTGCAACACCTTGAGATGTAGCTCCTGAGTGGCTGAACTGCCTGTATTCTGATATTTTGATTATTGTAGTTTATTCGTTTCAAGAGGATATTTTGTTTTGGTTCTCTAACTCTTATTTTCAGCTCATGGTTATGGCTGGGTCTTTTTACTAGGTTTCAAATATTTCCAATACATGCAGTTTTCCTTTTATGCAGTCTTTAAGTACTAAAATTTCCCAGGTGCACTTAACAAAGTAAATTTGATTCGATTTGATTACAGCTTTATGAAGATGACATTTGCCTCTGCATTTTGGATACGCATCCTCTGAGTCATGGGTAAGGTATCATCTGTTTAAGATGCAATATGAAGTTAGTGTATCCCTTTATGTACCTTTGTTCCACTTTAATGTGAGAATCCATCACTTTCAGGTTGTACTTAGGGTTATACTGCTGTCAAAATGTTGATCCATGATCTATGTTGCTTGTATAATTTCCATGGTTCATAATTTTGTAAAATTTGAGAACTTAAGCAATACACGTGTTTACTTCAGTCATGGTAATTTATTCAATCAGTTCCATAGAGTGGACGAGATGAACGCCTTTATCTCTCCAGGCATTGAGGCCTTAGGCACTGATTTAAGTAAACTTATATACTTGAGAAGTGAGATTGTTTTTTGATGCAAGTGATTTTGTATGAGTACTTTTTTTAAGGACTTTGTGGTTTGTAGTAAGTAATCATTTGTATGACAATTCAATTTGCATTAATATTACTTGATTAGATTTAAGAAAGCATTATAACAGCTACTTTTAGTTGATTACTTACTTCCTATTTGGTTATTTATGATTGCACCTTGCTTGCTAGATATTAGGAATGGTTTGTAGTTTTTTTTCGAAACATTTATTGTAGAAGTATTTTCTATGATAAAGAAAATAGACATAGTGGTACCTACCGAAAAAGGAAAAGAAAAAGACAGTGGTTGTCTAACAGGATACCATGCATGATAAAATATTGCCTGGCGAGTCACATATTGCACATTTACACTTCTTCTATTATTTTAGAAAGAGGAAAGTTGTCAAGGGACTGCCCTCATCGTAAGCCCATTCTTGCAGCCGTTGAATTGAGACTTGGCTTGGGAGTCTCTCAAATCAACTATTGCAAAGCAGAATTCATGGTGAGAGTGCTCCCTTGACAGTGTGTTTTTTATTTATTATTTATTTTATTTTATTTTATTTTATTAAGAAATTTTGATTTATGCTTTATCAACTTATCTCCTTTCGTGGTTCAAACATTAAAAATTGGCGAAGTTCACTACTTCCGAAATCTGAAGAAGTTCTCATAAAAGGGCCAAGCAACAGAAATAATGGGTAGGGTACATGGTGGTTGTACTCTAAAGGGATTTGGTGTTACTTATATTTTACAAGAGATGCATACTTATAAATCTGATGATATTCGAACTCGTTAAAATTGGTCATCTATGCTATATTGAAAGGGAAGAACCCCTCTTGGTATCATATGTCATCAAATTTCACTTTTTAAATTACTTTCAATTTCTTTGATTTTTTAAGATGCCCTATCATCTACAAAAACTGCCTTTTGGGTAACTAGGTATTTTAGTATTCTCTTCTAGAACTCGCATCATTTACAATCGTTTCTCCCACCAATTTAGATGAGATCAGTTACAAGTCATAATATCCATCACAATGTTTCGATATTTGAATAAATAGGTAAAAACATCATTAACACACTGAGAAATAATGAAAACATTAGTGATTACGAATATAGTGTTTTTATGTTAAAAACATGTTTACTTACCTTTAAACTACAAGAAATAATAACTAAAGTCTTGACGATGGATTACCTAATGGATTTGGATGAGTGGTCGTTCAGACTTTGGTCATGTTTTCTTGACCTTCTAAATGAGTTTGTAGAAATTTTCATTTCTTTTTGAGACACCGACAAATATTTTTATTAAACGAATGAAGAAAATAATTCCTTTTTTCTTGGAAAAATTACAAAGGAGTCCTACTTTTCCTTCTATTAGAACATCAAGTCCTATTAATGAAAAACCTACTAATATTTTTATTCATAGATGGGACTTGATGGTTTTATAGAAGGAAAAGTAGGGCTCCTTTGTACTTTTCGCTTAATCTTTCCTTTTTACCAAACAAGTTCTTCACTTTGAAGAAATGTTCTGTGGGTTTGACTTCAAGTTACACGTGACCGGATCTTGGCAATTCATATTGTTGATAGCCTCAACTGAGTGGAGGTATAGTACAGCCGTATGGGTGAATTTTAACTTCACATTACAGATTTACTATAGCCACCAATATATAACTTGTCTTAATCATGGGTGAACATTTGACTCCAATTTGTTGTGCAAATGAACGTCAATTTGTAATTGCTTGAAACTAGGAAAAAAAAAATGTAATTGCTTGAAGCTGTTTCGCATTTACTATGCTATATGTTTTCTTATATGAATCACGATAAAGAAATAGGGTTGGTCAGTATTCTATATAGTACGTTTAGCAACTCATACTAAAACGTAAGTTTTAATAGCACACATATAGTTCCTTGTCTTCCTTAAAAGAATGATAGAAAAGTAACAAATGAATAAAAAATGCTTCTTTGATTTCATCTGTCCATGTCCAATCTATAATTTTTTTGACGTTGGCTGAAGATTTTCACACTCAAGTCAACTTAATTCCGCAAAGCTTTGCACCAACCATTTGTTGTTGGCTAGATGAATCCTGTTTTCCATTCCAACTCTATGTAGGTCCATAAAGTCAATAAAACCACATGCTATTATATCTTTCTTTATTTTTGGTGGGTGGTTTTTGTGTTTGGTGGTGTGTTTGGTAGGAGCGGAATAGAAGATCTTTCGACGGGGAGGAATCTTCCATTGGGACTTTGAAATTTCTCATCGTTAGTTCTCTTTTTAGTTGGGTCATGGGGAGAAATTGTAAATCTATAGAGGAGATTGTTGATTTTTTGGGTTCCTTGGGTCCGTAGGATCCTTTCTTTGGCTTTGGCCTTTTACTGTGCCTGGGATGCGTTCCCCTTTTGAAAGCTTTCTAATATACTCTTATATATATATATATATATATATATATATATATTTATATATATAAATCATATATTTCTTTATTATTTCAACCCATATTAGTTTGGGCTTTCCCTTCTCCAGACATTACCCTCAAATGCGGACCATGCCTCTCTGAAACACTGTTATAGTTTTTAGTCTTCACTGTATGGCGAAACAATTTTAATCTATTTGATCTCCAATTGGTGCTACTCAACTGGCTCACGAATGTGTTTTATTTTTAAATTTGTCCTTTCTTGTTTCACTAGACATTAATCTCAACATTGGCATTCTTGCCATACTGATTTTGTGATATACTGTTTCTTAGTTGTTGGACATTCCATCTCGTAAAGTTTGCTGGTCTTATAGCTGTTTTATATAATATACTTTTCAATTAGAGATATACTATGACACAAAATGCAAGATGTACTCCTCCATTTTACTTATCTTACATTGCTTTCTTGATTAATATGGTTTCCATTTTTTCTCTCTCTGTGAACAATCAAGTTTAATTGTGGAGAATGGGAGTTTTTGCATGATTCCCATGATTCGAGTCATTCTGGGAATTCAAAAGCTTATTAAATAGAATAAGATGTAAATTGACTGAAACCAACAAAAATAGCAGAAAGAGCAATATAGTGAAATTGAAAGCTTCACTAATGGCTCAAAGGAATGTATGATGATTTGACAGGTCTTAAGAGCCATGGGTTATATAAACAGAGCTTCCCAAATAATGTTTTTGAAGCATTGGAGCATTGAAGTAAAATACTTGTGTTCTGTGCTAAGTATTAGTTTCTTATTGAAGTATAAACATTTTTTTTTTTTGATAAGTAAAAAAAATTATGATTTCCGTACTTAAAACTGATGAAGTGGCAGATCATCGTGATTATATCATGTCATTGTTTTTGTAGAGTAAATGAATTTTAAGAGTATTGCATAGAGAGAGTCCAGGGGCTTAAGTAGAGATATCATCTTTGCATATGTATCGTTATAAGTGATTTTTAATTTTTTACAAATGTTTGTATTTTTCAATTCATTTATGGTCCATTATTATTTTTTCCTTGTTTTGCAGACACTCTCTCATCATCCCAAAGTCTCATTTTTCTTCCCTGCGAGCAACTCCTCCTCTTGTGAGTTACTTTCACCACAAACAGTCAATTTGCATTTTCTAGCACAAGTGGCATAACTTTTGATGGACTGTCTGGACATCGAATTATTTTTCAACTAATTGTATTGTTCTATGTAGGATGGATAGTTCATTTAGTGCTTTCCAATATGTGGCTTTTGAAAAGGCTCAAGTATATATTTGAGTTTGAGCCCATCATAGCCGCTTTATAACTCAGAATTACACAAATATTGGGCCAACCTTCGTAGTTCATGAATCCACAAAACATTTTAGCTATAAAAGTTTATTGTAGTAAACCCTAAGAGCCCTCTATAACATATATAAGGCTGATTAATTTAGAAGAAAATAACCGTATCTTCAGTATGCAGGATCTTTTTGAATCCATTGGTTGTAAAAAGTATAAAATTTGTAGTTTTACACCAGCTACAAATGGATACATTATACATACACATATATTACTCTTCTGTGTAGGTAAAGCTGATTAATTTAGTAGAGAATAACCATATCTTCATCATGCAGGATCTCTCTGAATCATATGGCTATAAAACGGTGTAAAATTTGTTGTTTTACACCAGCTAGAAGTGGATACCTCATATATATACATACACACACGTGTAAATATATATGTTTATATAATGCCATGGTGCAATGATGGTAAATGTTAATCCCAGCTCTATGAGACCTCCAGTTAAAAGGTCTGGGAATAGATTGTAACATCTATCTGAGCTTATAAGTTTTCAAATTATTTTATTTGTTTTTAATAAATTTTAATTCATGAAGTTGTTTGTTACCTGTGACATTTTCTGTCCGACCATCCTAATTTTGATCATTCAATTATTGGAACCTTCTATTTTGATTTTCTGAGTTAACACATTGTTATAAACATCTTAATACAAAATGAAAATAATAGTAATAATAATAATAATGTATGCAGAACATGTGTTCTTTTTGTTAATGTACTTATTGTTCACTGTTATTAATGCTCAAGGAGTGAAGTTTGCATGTCGGGAGAGCCTTTAAGAATAGCTAGCAATTCAATTTTCTTGTCTTGGAGTCTGATGATCCATGAAAGTATGTAATTTCTGGTATATCTAATTTATAGAGTTTATTATGCAGGTGGTAGGGGCTATGTGTTCGAAAGTACCCTTTATTAGCAATGCAGTTATGAAAGCTACTGGTAGTGGTATGTGTTCATGGTTCACAGTTATTTTGGGATTAGTATACATTCTTTAGTAGCTTGCTTTATGCTTCTTTTTAGATGAATAAATTGTATGTCTGTTAAGGGAGGGGGTGAAACGTATTTGATATCTTCTTGATTGCTTTGATATGACATGGTTTGTTTGCCATTGGTTTCTTATGGTATTTCATTGCCATGGAAATGGTGTTTGATTAGGATGTTGGTTTGGTATTGGGTTGGGTTGGAATTGGATTTGACATGGAGCATGATGACAGGGAAAGTTGACAATTTTGGAGTGTGACGGGGACTTTAGAAATAATCATATTTTGTTTATAGTCTAAGTTTCAAAGTCAAACTGTTAGGTGTAGTTCTACTTATAGTTTCTAGGTAAATTTTGAAACATCGGCTAATCAATTGTGTCCTGTGGCATTGGAAATAATATTCTATATGTTGTCACATTTAAATTTACTGGATTTGGGTCATTGTGATGATCCATGAGCCTCATTTGGGTCTAGTTATATGTGGTTTTTAGTCTTTCTGCAATAATCTTAATAGGTTGGTGCTTGAAGTTTCTAAATTGATCTGCTACCTGGTTTAACTATCATTCTTTTCAACCATAAATCCTTCCTGGTAAAGCCTAGTCCTTCCACTGTCCAAAGCTTTAACCTTGTCAAACCCAACCCACTAAAAGAAACCAGATTTTGGACAGTGTGTTGGAACAACCGCTTTACCAGCTTAATTTGCTTCCATTTCTAGTCTACCAAGCCTCCCCTAACCCTTTCCCTTCCTTTTGGCCTTATGTTTAACATCCAAAATTAGTAATTAATTGAAGTCTATAATTTCCAGCAACCAAATTCTTGAAATTCCAGCAAACAAAAAGGGGATGAGAGGTCAGAAGAAGAGATTAGGGTAGAAGGAGGTGAGAAGACTGAAGAAGGGGGTGAATGACAAATTGAAAATATAGGTCAGAGAGACTGAGGGATTGAGAAGAGCAAGAACAAAGAGGGAGATGAAGATACAGCATCCAGGATGAGTTTTCAAACTCACGATAATATTCCAATAATCAAGCTGAATTGTATAGTTACATAGAATCCTTTATATAGGAAAAACATAAACAATCTCTAAGAAACCTTAAAATAGTAAAATCTAAAATCTTTCTAAATATAGAACATTAAAAAGTAATCCTAATGAAATTAAATCCTTGATTTCATCAACCTATGCCCTTCTCCAAGATTAATGGTGATAAGAAGACATGCATGGAAAAGAGAAGTTTAGGGCAAGCAAGCTACTCATATGGATAAGCAAGCTTGCCAATAAATGATATTGCAACTCAATATCAGATTCTCCCTCTGCAATGGTGAATCAATTTTTGGTGATTCAAATCAGAGTTGCTCAATGTTCTCAACTGGTTTTTTTCTTTGGCAAGAAACTCACACACCCATTTGTTCTTACGTGGACTTGAACCCTCACCTTCTACTTTAAAAGGTAAATGAGATACCATTAATTTACAGAATACCACCAATACAATAAATTCCAATTTTGTCATGTAAATAATATCCACCTCTGATATTACGCATATCAATCTTGAAGCCACATCTATACTCAAAAAGTCATGATGCGTACAAATATTTCCTTATTACATTTATATATTATTTTATTTTTATCTGTATTGATTTATATTATTTCATTCCTATGCTGTTGTAAAACAATGTTACGTGATTCCTGCATGGATGGAATGTGGAATTATCAACTTGAACACACTTGGAAGTCTAAAAACCATGTGATGTGGGGTGGCTGGATATAGGTGTCTAAAATCGACATTAACCTTCTGTTTCGGGAACCAACTCACATTCTCATTCCTGACAAAAAGCAATTTTGTTTGACACTCTTGAAAGTCTGACTTGAAATTTTAGCTAAGAAGCAATACACATTACACACACACACACATATTAGAGGAAAAATTTCTGCCAAAGAAAAAAAAAAGTAGGGGGAAAAAGAGAGAAGAATTTTATGACTAAAATGCATCTTATGTATAGGCTATAGCTGATGGGTTGTACTGAATGTTTGGTTTCTCTTGTCCATGTGCATCTTTCAAGGAAAATAACATTTTAACGGTCTATGGCATCTTAATTTGTATTTTGTTCATAAGGTGCAGTGTTGAACACATTAGCCAGGTGATTCTTTACACCTTTCATAAACTTTGATATACATAAAATTTGAATGTGCAGATTCATTCAACTTGTTGGTTAACAATGGTGCAGCTGCAGGCCAAGTGATTTTTCATGTATGGTTCTGTAAGATTTTAATATTTTGAATTCCACTGGGTTGTAAATTTCAATTGTTTGGGAACAAATATCTTCCCATTCTTAGCAGGTCATTTTTACCTTTCTCTGATTCTCTTATTACTTTCTGTGTTCAGACACACATCCACATAATTCCTCGCAAAGCACGGGATTGCTTATGGGCTTCTGAGGTATGCACTTGTTACTTTAATTTTTCTCTATTAATTACATGTTAACCAAACAAATTCCTGGGAGGTAAATATAAAAGTTGAAATCCCACAGAGTTTGCTGAGGCGGCCCCTAAAGTTAGACCAGGAAACTTCCCAACTTGCAGATCGCATTCGAGAAAAGTTGTTATACTCAGAAGACTCTGTAGATAGCAAGGGTCAGGGATCTAGCCTCATAGGAAACTAGTGGAATAATCGATCCCCGTTTGTATAATATGTACACTACAGTAGTGTATACCATAAAATCATAAATGTTCATTCTTTTAGGGAAAATGTTGTTGGACTTTCAGAAAAAGAGTTGTTATATATACTATGAAAAGAGTATGGTTCCATGTTCAGGAAATCTCTTTGGTGGTTTTAAATTGGAGAGTGAGAACGAGAGAGTTTTTAGAAATCAGATCTTTTGCATCACATTGTTGTCAGCGACTCAGCATCGAATGATTATTATTTTGAAATTCAAATCTTTTCCTATTTACGTATAAGCTTAGATTATCGGTGTTCGCACATTTCATGTTCTTGATTGTAACTATTGTTATCGCTAGGGTGGTGTTCTTGATGAAATCTTCCTCTTTTTTCTCTGTTCACGGGTTTTGAAAGGTCCATCGATGGTTGCCGGTGATTTTACTCAGTTTCATGTGTGTAAGAAAAACTTGGTGTCTGATCTACTTGAATTTTTTATAAATGGAAAAGACGAAATTAGCTCCCGGAAGTGGAGTTTGAGATTTATAATGATGGTGGAGTTTTAGGTGTAATTCTGAAGGGCAATTATGTCATTTCATTTTAATATTGGTAAATTTGATACTAAAATACTTTAACCAACATTGTTACCAAACAAATTTTAAAATGTTTTAAATATGAAAAACACGAAAAACACTTTATAAAAAATATCATCAAACACATTACATGTTTTTTACTGACAAGTTCGATTGTTAAAAGCGCTTTCATGATTTTAACAGCAATCCTAACCAGGCACGTAATATGATTGAAGCTCAAATAGACATATATATATATATATGTATGTATGTACAATGTTAATTCCTTTTTTTGTCCCAAATATTTACCAGTCCTTTTTTATTTTGTTAGTGCAACAGCAGAACTTTAAAATAAAAGGAGCATAGCACGACTGCATATATATATATATTTACCAGTCTCCTTAACTTGGAGTTTGAGAGTTAAGACTCAAAATTACCAAGGCATAGTTAGACGGGTGTGTATCCCGAGGACTTTATAAGAAAGAAATTCTCAAAAGGAAAAAAAGAAAAAAAAGAAAAAAATCGAAAGCCCTAGAATAGTTAAGAGATGATCACACCAGAAACTGGAATATGAGGAATGAGATAGTGAGAGAGATTCAGATTCCAATTTTCAACTCTACAAGTGTATGGGCAACATTGTCAACCTCACCAACAAAATGATACAACCAAGTTCAGGAAATGCTAAACTGTGTCCTAATTGCATCACTCTCTTGCCAAAACTAATGCCACCTAGTTAATTGATAAATAAATAAATATATCCAAAATTAATTTAGGGTTCAAAGTATTACTGTTTTTAAATGAAATACGGAGTATATAACTGCGACTGGGGCAGCCAACTACCAATGTGACAAAGGTTAAAATAATATATATATATATATATATTTCCTTTTTTTAAAGCATAGTGCGGTTCGGACTAGATTCCCACTTAGATCCTGTCTTGCCAGCAAAATCCATTTATGGAGACGGGGAGTGTCACACTCTCTCCTTCACTTAATCTTTAACTTCCAAAGTTTTATATTTCTTAAGGAGTATTACACTTTATTTTGTTGAGATGAAAGTATGGTAAGTTAGGCCTTGTTTAGTTTACAATTCTTAAAACAAATTTTTTTTTGAAAGTTACAAAACACTAATTTTGTTTTTTTGCTTTTCAAAAATTGTTTTTGGAGAACAATAAAAAGTTGTTTTGGCACCCTCTCATGATCATGAGAACTACTATTGAAAACACGGAAAACTCTTTTTTCATTAAAAAGGTTGGAGCCCATCTCTGGTTTATAATGTTTGCTTTTATCTCTTTTCTTACACAACATAAAGTTGATTTAAAAATAATAGCTTTAAAGCGACTTTAAATATTAAAAAATATTAATAGTCATGAATCTTGAAACTAAAGTACCACTAAGGCATAAAGGTCTTACTCAACTGAGCATATATATATATATATATATATATATATATATATATACGGGACGGGTTTTGAGCGAGTTTTCCTAAATCCCGGCCCGCTCTTTTTAATTTTTGTCAAGTCTATGCCCGCCCCGAGACCCGTGACGGGTTGAATTTTCATGTCCAGCCCTGCCTCGTACCTGTCCCGCTAACAAATTTTTTTCTTTGACTTTTTAGAACTTAAACTCTTACTATTTAAATGTGAAAAACCTGCGAATGACACAATATAAATGAAATTATGTATCCCAACAAAAATAAAAAAATAACATGCACATAACATAATTCAGATAACATAATAAATAATAATACAACCAAATCATAAGAAGTTCTAAACTCCAACTTCCACTCTAACTAAAATAAAAGCAAATTTAATACCAAGTTTACATCCTAAATTAGGATGGTAAGAGATGGGTAACTGGGTAAGCCGATAAAATAAGTTATTAATATTATATATATATATATATAGTCGATCTCTTGCTCCCCATAGAGTAAGAAAAATCTAGACGTTAGATTAAATCTAATGGTCATTTTACAAACCCACTTATGGTCTTTCCTTTTAACACAAAACCACTTTCACGCTATTTTTAATTTCTATAATTAATTTTACCGTTACCACATACTATAACAATAAAAGGTAATTATCAAAATAAAAATAAAAACCTTTGAAAAAAGATTAATTTCCGTAGCCTATGGTCTTTCCTTTTAACACAAAACAACTTTCACGCTATTTTTAGTTTCTATAATTAATTTTACCATTACCACATACTATAACAATAAAAAGGTAATTATCAAAATAAAAATAGAAACCTTTGAAAAAAGATTAATTCCCGTAGCTTTACTTTTATTTGTCGTGGAAGAGTTTATTTAAGTCTTTGAGGATTAAATGTTTTTAAATTTTGTTAAGTTTCATCCCTTTACGAAGAGATTAAAATTTTTGTTTTTGTTTCATTTAGTTTAAGCTTTAACAATTTTGAATAAAGTCAATGTCATGTGATTCCATTATTCAGTTGTATAATATTATTATCCACACGTACACGCACAAGTAACTATAACAATAATACTGTTTTCCATGAGAGCTTTGGTACAGCTGCATCTTTCCCAATGTATTTTCAGGCTTCTCTTTGAAAACCCACATATACATATTCTCCATATCATGCTAAACCATGAAAATATCAAGCTTCAAGTCTAATTTATCATAACCATCAACCCCATTACTCTCCCAATTAAGTGATCTTACTTTTTGATTTCTCATTCAAAGTTGGTTTAAAAAAAAAACCTGAAGAAAAACCAGGCATCCAAAACACTATCAAGCCTCTTAGCAAGGTGCGGGTATTGTTTTTCTTTCAAAAAAATATTTAAATAAAAACAAATTTATTAGTAAAATATACGGGAATTAATTTTTTTCAAAGGTTTCTATTTTTGTTTTGATAATTACCTTTTATTGTTACATAGGTGGTAATCGTAAAATTAATTATACAAACTAAAAATAGGGTGAAAATGGTTTTGTGTTAAAAGGAAAGGCTATAGGTAGGTTTGTAAAATGACCGTTAGATTTAATCTAACGGTCTATATAGAAAGTGTGGATTATTTTTTTTGCTCCATGAGAGCAAGAGATCAGGACTCTATATATATATATATATTAAATATAGTTATATGCTTAGTGGGGCGGGGTCCATAGGATATGTATACTGAACTCTTACTTGTCCGATGACCCGCAACTGGTACAAAATTTGTGTTCATATCCGCCCCAATGGTATAAAAAGTGTTCCCATATCTGTTATTAACGGGGGCGGGATGGAGAGGGGCCGGTGGGACGGTAAAAATTAACATCCACATGTATATATATATATATATACTGAAACTAAGGACACCGAAATGATAATTAAATGATACCTCTAATTTGTACCACCATTTTATAATTAAATGATACCACTAATTTATAAGCTAATTTTGTAAGTCCGCAAATCAAAACAATATTCACGTGTGTAAGTCGATGAATCCTCGCCGTCGATTGTTTAATTAATTAAAATTTGACAATATTAATTGTGAAGGAATATTTGGTTTATGAAACAAATAATAGGAATTTTAATGCAAAAAAAATGGGGAGAAGCATGGGAAGGAATAAGGATAGTGAAAAAGGGTATTTGTGGAATGCAATCTCAAATGGTCAATTAGTTGGTTTTAAGCTGTTACCGTGAGAAAAGTGGAATTTAAAATAAATAGAGTTCAAGTAAAAAAATACTTATGAATGGATTTGTGTAATCTGATTCATATTTAATGGTTAGAATATGACTCTCACAGACAAATCATTTATCTTTCCTAGATATAAGGATAAAACATTTTATTTTAGCATAAATCATTTTTCTCTCCTAACTCCAAGTATAGTTCTTCATATATTGAGTATGGATTAACCTTTTTCCTAAATCAAAGGATAAACCATTTTTCTTTCCTAAAATAAGAAAAAGGGTATATATGGAATGAAGTCTCAAATGGTCAATTTGCTGGTTTTAAGCTGTGAGGTATGAAAAACCGAAGTTAAAATAAATAAGAGTTAGTAAAAAAAAATACATGATAACAAGTTGATAGATTTGTATAATCTGATCCACATTCAATTGTTAGAATTTGATTCTCACCCAAAAAAACAAATCATTTATCTTTCCCAAATATAAGGATAAATCATTTTTGTTTTATCATAAATCATATTTCTCTCCTAAATCCAAGGATAGTTCTTCATATATTGAGTATGGATTAACCTTTTCCTTAATCAAAGGATTAATCATTTTAATTTCCTAAATCAAATGATAGTTCTTCGTTTATTGTCCAGCTTACAAAGATTTGTGGCACCAACATTTCTGAGGTGGGACCCACAAAACTTTGTAAATCTGTCCATAAACCATTGTCCTATCTGATTGACTTGAGTCAACTCCAAACTAATCTATTACAGGTCAAGAAAAAAAAGTCATGTCCAAATGCAATCCATCCAGCGAATCCTCTCATAAATTGACACCAAATTAAACATCATCACCCTCAGTCTCATCAATTATTAAAAAAAAAAAACCATATTGGAGAAGATTGTAATGGGCTTCCTTGCTGATCAAGAATTATTTTATTATTTTTATTTTTATTTTTTTAAAATCAAAGCAATATAGAAGATTCTAGACAATTGGGCTTCCTTTAGTAAGGATTATTATTATTTTTAATTATTTTTTTTTAAAAAATAAAGCAAAAAGTTTATAAAAACGCATGTGGAACAAATCACCAATCGCATTTCAGAATAACCAAAGCACCTAACCAAACGGCATGCGTAATTAAAACATCGCTGTTTTAGTCAGCTTTTTGTTTGGCCGATAAAAATCTCGTTTCTCTTTCCCTCGTTACAGTTTCCATTCCATTCGTTTGCCCTAGGAAGTAAAACGGAATGTTCCCAAAGCCACAGGAACGAAAACGCATCTCAGAAAAGTGCTTTTTAAGATATTGATATTGAATCGTCAGATTAGCTCCCTTCCTCTCTCTTTCCCTCTTCCTTCCATATGCTTTTATGCTCATATATAAACACATCTGTTTAATCTATGGTTAGATTCTAGAGGGTAAGAAGCAATTATAGAGGGTGAAAGAGGACATAAATTTATAGGATAGAGAGAGAGAGAAAAAATGGCTCCGACTGCTGTCGCCACTGGAGCGACCAAACAGGCGGAACAACTCAGGCAAGACGGCAACACTTACTTTAAGAAAGATCGTTTTGGTGCTGCCATTGATGCTTATACCGAGGTATATATATACATATACACACATAAATGCGATCTCTTTATCGTTTCAACCCTTCTCTGTATCTGGAAATGGGTATCTAAAGTTTTTCAAATTGACCCATTTGTTTCTTAATAAATTTATTCACTTGAATTGTTTATGGTTATGAATTTCTCAGGCGATTACCTTGTGCCCTAATGTTCCGATATATTGGACCAATCGCGCCTTATGCCATCGCAGGCGAAAGTATGTATAAGCACATACCCTTTTCCATTTTATGTTTGTATTTTATTTTTTGGTATTTTTATTTCATCATGATTTGTGGTCTTGCTGTTGATTTTTTGCTTCGCGGTCTTTTCTAGTGATTGGACGAAAGTGGAGGAGGATTGTAGGAGAGCTATTCAGCTTGATCACAATTCTGTCAAGGTCAGGGCTTGTAACTTTTACCCTAATGGTCATTTATTGTTTGGAATTGTCACAGAGGTCATGTTTCCGTAATTGGTAGTAGTTCTTCTTTGGTTATGTTCCGCGTTGATGATTTTGGATTTTATGATTGCTCTTCTGTTTGATATGATTAATTTTGCTTGACCATATATTGTTTGTGTCTTGATGTTCTGTTGTAGTGGATAAACTATTAAACTGAATGGTTTTTGAGATACAGATGTGCTATATGTTTTCTTGGTAATAATTGACTATTTTGTGAAATTTAGGCTATCATAATCGAGGGCCTTGATGTTACACAATTCATAGCTTGTTCAGTAAGCATGTTGCTATGTTGACTAGTACCTTTACATATTATAAGATTAACATGGTGTCTTGTTAGGATACACTGAATCTTCTGCATATTTTGTGTGATCGGCATATCCCTCCAAGATTGAAAGGGAAGTTCTATAAAATAACTACTAGACCAGCTGTTCTTTATGGCATAGAATTTTGGGAAACTAAGAAACAACATAATGCATCAAGTGAGTGTGGCGGAAACGCGAATGCTGAGACAAATGTGCAGGAAAACAAGATAGGATATAATTAGAAATGAGCACATTCTTGAGTGCTTGGAGTAGAACCAATTGGAGATAAAATGAGAGATTGCTGATTGAGATGGTTTGGTAATTTACAAAGAAGACTATTAAGTGTGCCGGTTAGGAAGTGTAACATGGTCCACATTGAGTTGTTAGGGGAAGGAGAAGACCAAAGTTTACGCGGGTAGCGGGTAGTGTTAATAAGTATGAATATGATATTATGTGGTTTAATTAATGTCATGTCATCTGATAGTGTTGAATGGAAAACTGATTCATGTGTTTGGCCCCAAGTAATTGGAAAAAAGACATTGTTGAGTTGAGTTACGCCCTGAGCATGACGAGAATGACCTGATAATTTCAGATTTAGCCTTGCATCATACTCAGTGAAAATGCCCCTCGGTAAAAGAACTAAAATTACTATCCTTATTGAAGCTAGTTGCTCTTGGTCGAGGTCTACCTTAACAAGGCTTGGTAACATCTAATTTATTTGGAGAATACATCCTCAATGGAATTGCCATTTAGCATGACTTATTGTTGTTTAATGCCAAATGTTAGGTCTGTATCTTGTTTAGTCCTCCTAGCACCCTGTGTTGTTTTAACAAGATCAAGAGGAACTACAGGTAATGACCCTAAGATCTTTGCTTGTTGAATAAAAATAAGGTCTTGCAAAGGATCAATCTAGATATTGAGAGCTCTAGTCCAGGTTTCTTAAGGTTTCAAATGTCGATCTTATTTAGTTCAAGGGGCAATAAGGCACGGTCTTTCACAGTTTAAGGGTCTACCCTCGAGTAATGAGGACTACACTCGATAATGCTTATGGTGTTTTCTTCTTGTTGAATAGAAATTGAAGGCATTGCACGTAATGTAGTGGGAGTGTGATGTGGTTTAAATTAAGCGAGGTCAAGACTAAGGGCACCATTAACTCCATGATGTTAGGGTCTTGCCAAGGGTTAGTCTAGATATTGAGAGGTCCAGCCAGTGTTCTTAAGGTTTCAAATACAGCACGTTCTTATTTAGCATACACGTTTATTCTTGTCTCTGGTCTAGCATGGGTCTATTTATAGTTCATGGATGAGGGGGTAAGGCGGTGCTCGCTCCATGCAGGGATTTGATGAGGTCATGCTACATACTGTACCATGGCCCAATGGATGGGGCCACGTGGATTGATGACTAACAAATTTGGGATGTGTTATGGGCGTCATTGCAGGCATAGGTAGGGATGGCAATTTGTCCTGATCTGGCATGTCTGTCTCGCCCCTAATGGGACGGATATGGTGTGTCATTAAATAGTTTAGGGGCGGGTATGGGATAGATAGGTTGAACCCGGGCCGGTTCAGGGCAGGGACGGGTTTGTATGTGCCCCGCCCTGATTACATTACAAATTAACAGCTTTGCCTATTAGAGCTTTTTATACAAAAAAAAAGAGGGGCAGCTGCTCTCATCTCTCACTCACTCATACAATTCTCTCTCTCTAATGGTAATGGATCACACCCAACTTCACCAAATGAATAATCCCCAACACACAAACTTATTCTCATGAATATTTTCAAAAGAAGTTCTCAGCGAGATCTGCTGCTTCTTCGGCGGTTGGCTGTTGGTGATGGTAAGCTAGAGTTCTCTCTCTCACTATCTATATGTATATACATATATACACAATTATACATAGGGATTATGTTATATTTTATTTATATATATATAATCTTTGTAACTTTTGGTTGTCTCACAGTTTAATCTCTCTTCATTTCAAAATTTTCAGTTGTTGAGTGGGGCGGGGATGGGTTTTGAGCTCCATTCATGCGGTGGGGATGGGATAATAATTTTGAACCTGTTCCGGCTATGGGACGGGTATTGGATCGGGATTTATAAACTGGACGGGGTAGAGTTTAACCCGTCCCAAACCCATTCCGTTGCCATCGCCAGGCATAGGGGTAGTTGGTGCTGGTTAGGGTGCTATCGAGGCAATCAGCGTCTCAGGCAAGTTGCATTGTGGGTCATTAAGATGCCCTCATTTGCAATGGGGTTGTTTTTATGATGTGGTTGCATGTGTTGGATGTTGTCCGATATAAGTGTTATAATGTAATTGAGGGTATTTGTCATTTCGTTTGGGAGAAATGTGATCTCTTTTATTTAAGTTGAGGTGTGGACACAGACTGCTGAGCTGTGGAGTTCAGCATTCACCCATGCACTATAATCACACAGGAGGTTTGACATGTGTGCATACCTCAAGGTGGGCTATGAGATAGCCATGCACTTGCTGTTTAAGCCCTTTGAATCCTACTTCCATGCATGCCTTCTTGGGCCCCTTGATCATGCAGAGATTTCTGGTACATTTTGAACCAAATGCAAGTTTCTTTTGGTCCTTCAATGCAGAGCCATGTAGATGATGTTTTGCATTTGGCCTCTTGTATGACATGATCCTGGAGTTAACTTCCTGCCGAGTAATAGTTTTTTGTTGGTTGTTACTCACATTGACTTCCTAGTGAAGTTTTGATTTTTAACTGCTAGCATGTGCTTTTAAGGTCTTCCTCCTGGGAAATTTTAAGGTGTGAGGATATATTGTTATTCATTTATCTAGCTTCTTTTTACCGGAAACAATGTGTCTAATTTCCATTTGGTAATAATGTATATTTTATCTGTTACTTCTTGGATTATTGTGATCTAATTGAGTTCAGATGTGTTTTCCAAATGACAGGCCCATTATATGCTTGGGCTTGCTTTATTACAGAGGGAAGAATTTGCTGAAGGAGTCAAGGAACTAGAAAAAGTATGAACTCATTCTTCCTCTACATTATTCTTGAATAATATTATTTAGTTTATGCAAAAGGACATATTTTTTCCTTTTTCCAGTTATGCGAAAGGATCTGGTTTTATTGTCATGTGCATATTTTAAAGAAAAGTAGTTTACATGTATATCTGCACAATTGTGCATATAAACACATTTACGTAAAATTGTTGGCATAAATTCTGGATCAACAAAATTGCAGTTTCTAATGGAACCTTTTTGCTATAAATGTTTTAGATGAGTTACCATGATTCATACTCCCCCCTTTTTTCATTTGACATTTACTGTTTAGCTTTTCTATTTTTATCTTCATTATATGATTATTGTTATCAATCTCTGAGGTTTTGGAATAATAGTATCTGATATTTCTCAACTTTTAAGTAATTGGTTGTCTTACTGAAGTTGTTATTATTTAGTTCAAATACTAATGAATTAGATTGTAAATGATTGCTTTCCAGTCAAACAGACTGATTCACATTGTGCGACTGACTGATGTCCATTCTTATTATTGCTTTTGCCTTTTCTGTTCCTTCCTGGTGCCCCCTTTTTCTGGTGCATATTTTGTGCTTTCACTTTTAATTTGTGGTCCCACTTCTCATTCCAGTAGGACTTGTATAGATATGTATGTTTTTTCTTACATTATGCTAGTAATGGTAGCAATGCTAACATGACAGCAGCTGTCCCCACTTGGAGTAATGAGATTTTCTTTTGGTAATTCTTTCATTAGCTGAATTTTGTTTATCCATTTGTAAATTTCTTTTGGTGATTGAACAAAAGGAAAATCTCAAGAGTAAAATATAATTTGACTGGAAAATCGATAATGGATGCATTGTCTTGCTGCGAGTTGCAGCTTTGTGTCGTTTTTATGTGAGTGACGGCCTTGTATTTTAGCATTGGAGAAAAGTTGCTAAATGTAAAATGGATCTCTCTGTGATTTTGAATGCCATGGGATGAAAAAGAAAAACAAGAAAGAAGTAAGAATTTAAAAGACAAGTTCAGAACAATTCAATAAGAAATAAGCTATGTTGCAATAACAGTACACATGCTAAATTGACACTAGTTTTGAGCATGATCTTTTACTCCCTTAGTGTTGTGAAGAAGATGGAAGGGGAAGTTTGTTTCTTTTGGAAGAAGATGTGCATGATATATTTAATGAGAGCATTGGAAACCTAATGAAATTTCATCCAACTTTCTTATGCAGGCTTTGGATCTTGGGAGGGGGGCAAACCTCGAGAGTTATATGGTAGAGGAGATATGGCAGGAGCTTGCAAATGCAAAATACCTGGAGTGGGAGCATGATTCAAACAAGCGTTCATGGGAACTGCAAAGCTTGAAGTATGTGTGCATCACAGTGAGTTTAGACCTGTTGATGTTTGGAAGGGCTTCATTTATCAATTATTCTGACCTCACTTTTTAATGCTTAGATACTTGAATGTCCATTCTGCTTTTTTTCATATCATTATCTTTGTCTACGTTTCAGAGAAGCCTGTGAGTCAGCTCTTAAAGAAAAACATTTTCTTGACCCATCTCAAACGGAAGGGTTTTCTGAAGAAGCTGCTGCTTCCAATTTAGCAGAGTTGGAGGCTTTGGAACAAGTGTTCGAGAAAGCTGCAGAAGCTGACTTGCCAACGGAGGTGAGCATTGGAGCTCTTTTCTTTCTGTTCTTCTACTTCTTAGTTGCATGCTAATACGTTTTTCTTGGTGGTATTGATTGAGCATTTCAGGTGCCAGATTACCTATGTTGTAAAATAACTCTTGATATATACCGAGATCCCGTCATTACTCCAAGTGGGGTTACATATGAAAGGGCAGTGATCCTTGATCATCTCCACAAGGTAACTTTTGATTTTGCTTTGCATAGTAGAAATTTATACTCCATTTCCACTTGTGTAAATCTTTAACTTAAATCACAATTTAGGTGGGCAACTTTGATCCAATCACGCGTGACCCTCTTTACTCGTCTCAGCTGATACCAAATTTGGCCATAAAAGAAGCAGTCCAAGCATTTCTAGACAAGCATGGTTGGGCTTACAAGACGGATTGAGAGTTTAATTTGTTAACGGTGAAAAGGAAGATTTGATCCGGGTGCCAAATGGGGGCAGAGCCAAATTCCGTTTCTTTTTGTTGTACGTCATAGTTATCCTTTTGATGCATTAGCATTAGCAATCATGTTACGCGATTAATCTGTATGTTTTTGATGTGTAATCTCCATATTTCGCTAATTGTATAGTGCGATGCCCTTCATATGAGATGTGAGCTCCTCTATCGTGTTCTTGAATTGTATAGATTATCAAATAGTCTAGTTAATGTCCTATGTACAGTTTACTGCAACATTGCTTAGAAGCTATGGTGAGTGGTGTTTCGCACCTCTTTGTAATAGAACAACTAAGAGGAGTGGTCTCTTTTTTGTTTTTTTGGACTGGATTGCTATGATAATGATCATTTTTATCTATTTTCCTGTGGCTGGTTTTTCTCCGGTGGGTGTGGATGAATTTTATGCTCACGGGTGAGTAACAGATCATTTCCTTGTATATATGTGTGTGTGTGTGTTTTGTTTTTTTTTTTTTTTTTTTGGTCATAATTAATCTCATCTTTTGTTTTTCATTCCCTCTTGCTCATCTTTTGTACAAGTCATATTATCTTATACGCATATACATATATAGTACATGGCACAAAGTATTTAGATACATATCATGTTTGTCTCTCTGAAGATGCATACAAATACAGATGCACAAGTGTTAAGACACAGAATCATGTGTGTTGTGATGCAAATCTCAACGAGACATTTGTTTCAATGTCAACACGTTAATTTTATACCGAGTTACGGACACACATTATTTTAATGTGTCCGACTCATTTTGAAGAGGTATGAATTTTTATTTTTATTTTTATTTTTTTTAAAGACAAGGCAAGAATTGTTAGAAGTTATATTAGTAGATGTAGAGATTCGAAACCTGGCATTTCAAAGTCCACCGGAGGCACTAACCCACTTAATTATCGAAATATGTATTTAATCTATTTTTTTTTTAAAACACTCTATATCATTTGAATTTTAAATATTTATATTATGTAGTAAAAAATTTAAACGAAACTTAAAGATTGTTTTGCTTTTATGTAGAGATACTTGTGGAGTGGAATGAAAAAGCAGTAAAGAAGCAAAGGAAGGTGAGAAAAAAAGGAATCACTTGGCTCAGTTTATGGTGTCTTTTCAAGATCGAATTGGTTTCTGTTTGCTACTATTTTGATGATAATAAATTCAAGAATGTCTCTGTTCTATTTTTGGACTTTCAAAATATTCTATTCATTCAAAAAATAAAAAGAAAAAATAAAAAAGAAAACTAAAAAGCTAAAAGGTTTCTAAATTTTCACCATTCATTTGTTATTCCAATCGAGACAAATTTTTTTGTTTTGAACATAAAAGGATGATTAGACCTTTGACTTGCATATTTCAGATCAAGCACAATAATGCATTTAGGAGGGAAGTTCGAGTTTTCCGCTTTGGTATAACATGGTGTTGTATAATTTTTCAACACAATAAATCTGTTTTTAACATATTATATCATTAAAAAATTAAATTTTGGTGACAAGAAATTAAAAAATTTGCCTTATGGTGATCATAAACTCAAGAAAAGATGAAAAACGACAAAACTTAAAAGACTTTGCCAATGATGTCCACTTCCATCTTTGTCATTGTCTACGCGTATAGCTTTTGAAGCTTTTGATGCTTGGGAGTGGCGTTGGGTGGTGGAGAAGAATAGATTGGGGATGTTTGGATAGGACGACAGATATTTTTGACATTAAAGTTAAAATAGTCACACGAATGAAAGACGAACAGAAAAAAAAAGAAGAGAGAAGAGGGAGAAAAAGAAGAAAAATGGTCACCAAAATCTAATTTTCTTTTATATCAATCTATTTCAGTCATATTTAACATGTTAAAAAACATAACTGATGTGTTGACAAATTATAACATTATGAACAGAGGGTTTGAGGCGGAGGAGAGATATTGTGCTTGCCAAATTTAAAAGCACTTTCCAAAGGGCTTTTCTCTTAATAGAGAGGGAAGCACATGCTCAAGCTGTAACAATCTCTATTTTTGTGCAAATTTATATTTTAATTTTTTATAATAAAAAATATACATACTTTTTGTCCACACTCGAGCTCGACCTCTTTTCCTTCTCTTTGAAGATGAAGAGATTATACCATTAAAGCTGGATGCATGTTACTGGATCATAGTCTTAATAAATTGAAGCTTTTGAACTATGGGCTTAAGGTTTGCCATATGATATGCTTCAAAATTCAAAACTCAAGCCCAAAAGTCCAGATTGACGTGGTGAAGTATTTTTAATTTTTGGCTTTCAATTTTGAAAGACGATAGGTATCACACAAGATCAAAAAATCGATTAATTACTAATTTTGCCCACATTTCCTTAAAATCTTCTGATTTGGGAGGGAAAATACGTTTTATAGGATAGGCTATCCCACTCTTCTCTTCCAATCCTCTCGCATCTCCTTATTTTTAAAACAAATAAAAGACAAACAATCCTTTCTCCTCACTTTCTTTTCTTTGTAAGAAAGTCATTCGCACATTTGCACACTTCTATTTCTCACGGGATTTGAATTATCGACCTTCTATGTACAAGGATATAAAGTACCACTAAACTTCTTAAGATAGGCCATAGGTTGGGAAGTTGAAGATGATGCAATTGTCCTAGATTGTGACCATGTCGCAATTGGCATAAACTGGACAACTCAAGTGTTAACGAATGTCTCACTGGGCGTGCCAAAAGAAATTTGGCTCCAAGTGTGCCCTTTAGGGATATGCTTGTAATTTCTCAGAACGCATGTGCCGGAATTGTTAGATTCATATTTTCAGATTATTTTAAAGAAGCTGCGGCCGTGAGAGTGCGTGCACTCGTGTCTAATATGACTAGCGATTGAGGAGAGTAGGATTGACCCTAGCTCTCTAGGTTTGTATCACTTCGGCCCAAACTGAAGGGCAGTGTTAAGCCTATACTGTGTTAGATTTAGAGTTACATATGAATGTCAACCACAGTATAATGAGACAATCTATTACAAATGCTTGGGATGATACAACATAGATGAACCTAGTTACATTCTAAAGGGTTCACTAGTTGAACCATTAGTTACCTGTTAGAAGCTTGAAATGTAAGACCCAAGTACTGCAAGCTACGCTATGAAAGCAAGTAAAGGCAAACCATTGTAAATCTAGTATTACAAGCTACACTATGGAAATCATGTAGATGAATTGAATTGTGCAGAGCTAAGTTACACATGAATGTAAAACTGAGTACAGATGGCATATGGCCGGATGGACGTATGAAAAGTGTTGTGTTGGTGGAGGATCTTGATCTGTTCATAGAGGAGTTCTATTTATAGTGTTTGAGATCCTTGGTCTTTAGTTGGATGTGCGCAATGTAGATGGCCGTGATGGTTTTATTGTAAAGGCTATCGTTGCACATGAAACGTCATCCTTGGACTGACACGGATGTGACCTTCTAGGTTTGCCTATAGCCGACGCGAGTGTTGCTTTATTCAGGTCACTTCGCTCAGTATGCCTGTCTATTGATGGAGCTTTATTTAGGTCACTTCGCTTAATACGTCTGTCTATTGATGGGACAGAAGTAGGTAACTCTGTCTATTGCTAGTCATCTGATTGATTTGATTAGATTTTCGTTAATTATATTAATTAAATTGTTTGAACAAGAGTGTTGAGAAATTAAATATAACACATATTACCAACGCAACAGAGTAAGGCATCAAAATGTTGAGGAAATGCTCAATTTGGGTACAAAACAATAGAGTAAGTCTATATAATAAAAAATCCACTCGTCTCATCTAGTTGTTATTTCTATAATTAATCAAATTCCATCCCACACTTTGTCTTGTTACTAAATCTATATGTAATTGTTTATTTATTTTTATATAAAAGCAAGAGTACAGAAACTAAGAAATAGGGAAGAACCCTCCACACACAAACATTGCCTTGGCCAAACAGGCCAGGAGGACCATGAATAGGAAGCACATGAAGATTGCAATGCAATGAAGCTTGCTGAAAGGAGTTCCTCCAACATTTGATTTCTTACACCACCATTGCTGCAAGAGGGGATTCAAGATGGCATGAGAAAACTGATCGACAATGACCTTCAGCAATGACACAATTGAAACCCTAGAGACATAGGAGCTCTAAACCTTGACAAAGCACCTTGGCCTCCGCCACTTTTGGGCTATGAATTTTCTTAACAAAAATAGTCCTCAAGCAAAGCATTTTCCCTTTTACATTCCTCATAATCAGGCCACCTCCGCTATAGTGGTGAAAATTTACAAATCCCAGTAAAGAAATTTCATCACTATAAGCTCAAACTATAAGACAAATTCAATTCAATAAAGAGTTAATTGCAGTAAAACCTGAGATGAAATCATACTAAGCCACATTCCGAACTGTAACTAAAAAATCCGAGGTTGAAACTCTTGAACAAGGATAGAGAATTTACAAAACGGAGGTTGAGAATGATCACAAGATGCCTAAATTGCAGTAAGGGGTCGTAGCGTTACAACATGTATAGTAAGCTCTACAACAATGTGTAATGTACAGTATCCTGCAAGCTCTACAACATGTGTAATGTACAGTATCCTGCAAGCTCTACAACATGTGTAATGTGTAATGTACAATTCTTGTGCCCTTCAAGTGTAATGTGTACTGCAAACCTGCGTAGTGTACAACTTTTGTGCTTGTAAATGCTTTATGAGAGAGACATCATATAGTATGAGTTAGATTGGGAGCCATGTTCAGCTTATCAAGAATGGCAGTGGCCTCCATCTGGGCTATTGCAGTCCCATTCCGAGCAAAATGAGAGATTGTCTTATATGAATTCTCTTCATCTCTAATCATTGTCCACCACTTCTTGTGGACGCTGCCAAAGCATATTTTGTGGAGGATGACAAGACATTTCTCATTGTTGACATCTGAAGAGCTCTTCTTTCTGATTATACTAAGCAAGCAGGGAACAGCACCCCTCTCTCTCATTTCCTCTACTGCCATTTGTTGGTTTGAAAGGTGAGCGACAATACCAAACAACTCATGAATACGCACACCGTCCGTTATCTTCCTCAGGATGACCCTCACAGCATCGCCCTTCACGGCTTTTGGCTGGTTCCCAGACAGACTGCATAGGTTAAAAATCGCTGAACCAACATTTTCATAGCTGGTGTGTGTCCTCCTCCTAAGAGGTCAATTAGCGGTTTTAGGAAATCCCCAATAATTCCCCTGTTTGAGTCGAGATCCGCTAATCTGGAGAGGTCTGCAGCTGCAATGCTCCTTGTTTCGATTTTTCCTGATCTGACCGCATCTATAAGAAGAGGGATAACCATTTGGGCCAATGGGGCGTTCTCAGCAATACGCTTCTTGTTGTCGTAAAGGATGAAAATATTTGT